TTCCAGACCTAGGCCCAGCTTCACTATTAGGTCTCTACCCGGGATCTTGGTACTTGCTTTAGGAACATATAAGAATGATTCCACAGCCTATTCTGATCCTAGTCTGAGTGACATTTTCTCAAATATTAGAACCTGAAATCCCTCCCCTTTTGCTCCCCCCCGAAACTAGTAATTTTTCCCTAGAGAATCTTGTGCCCTTTGATTGAAAAGTTAGGGAGCAGCAAGCAGCTCTGGAATTGACCAAAAATATGCCCTCCTTCTACTTAGGTGCCACCCTTAAATTTGCCAGGGGTTCCTAGAGGAACTACTTAAAAGGAACCCCTGACTCCTCTAATCTGTATTGAAAGTCACAAGGAGGGATCACTTTCTCTGTTTTTCCATATTCTCTTTTTAAATGCCCTGGCTTTAAAATATGCACTTGCTGTCAGGTAAAACAGCCAAAAACCAAGACCAGGCCAGGCCACAATAAGCCTTTTTTGCAGGGACGATCTGCTGGGCTGTCTCTGAAGAAAGGAGAGACAAAAGCAATATGGCCGGGACAGGGAGTGCTTCTTATAGGAGCTGGGGTGGGGTTGAGTGAGGTAGTGGCTAGGGACTGGAGGAGCCTGTGATGTCACTAGCGGTTAGGAGGAGAGCAAGTATTAGGTTACTCTTTTGGTGGGAGTAGGGCATGTTGGGAAGGAGAAGGTAGCTATTATGTACAGCGGCCACCCTGAATCGGAGGGAAATCCATCACTTGCTGTCTTAAGGTTCTCCCCCAGGACTCCCCTTTTGTTTCCCTTCTGAGTTCTTCCCTTTCCTTGTCTTCTTTGTGCGGAGTACAGATCTACTTTCCCTTTAACCACTTCTTCTACAGTAGAGGCCATGATTTTCCCTTTCTGCTTTTCCTCTTCCCTCTTTACAAAGATTTTTGAGCCTCTCTTTTTTTTTTTTAATATTAAACTCTTATTGGTACATTGTAGGCATACAACACAATTACATTTCTCATTGGGAATTGTACCTTTACATCATGCATCTTGGTTCTTTTTTGAGCCTCTCTTAATAATTCTTCCATTGGGTTCTCATTCCATCCCTCAGTCTTTTATAACTTTTTAATAATATCAGGCCAGGACTTGGTCTCAAAATTTACCTTTAGGAGTCCTTGATCTACATATTTGGGATTGCCATTAGTAAATCATACATTTTAAAAAAAATAAACTTCATCCTCTTTACCCTTTTTTCCAACGTGCTTGGACTTCCTAGTTTTGTCACTATCTTTCCTTTTTCTATCTTGGTTGCCCAAAATATATCATACAAAATTCTTTCACACCAAAAATTTCTTTTTATACTTTCGTATTTTCTTCTTTATCCTACTTATGAGTTTCTTTCTATAACAAGCCTAGTAGCCAATAAGATTTTAAAATGCCCCAGGTACACTTTTTTCCCCCGTTGATCTCAGAGTAAGTTTATAAATGGTTACATTCTAATTAGGGTGAGCTGCCAACAGACTTCCAAGTGCCCTTGAGTCCCATTCCTATCTGAGTTGAAGCAGTTGGTATGTTTTAAGCATACCAATTAAACAAAAAATATCAAGTCAAATCGGAATATTAAAGTAAATTTATCAATCAGCCAAATTTGAGCCAAAAGACTAAAAGTTTGCAAATTGGGCTAGGCAAAACATCAATGTTTAATCATCTTTTGTTTTTATTTATCCTTGGTACTAGAGTTATCCCTTGCCCCCAAACCTTTAACATTGTCTCCAGTGGACTATCTGGAGAATGTCAGAGGGAGAATCCTTATTTCCTCTTTCTTTGGTTACCCAGGCCTAGAATTTCCCATTTTCTGCTGGTCTCTGTGACTGATGTTCCCTGTGTACTCAACACCCTGGTGAAGATTTCTTGCATATCCTGTGTACTCAACCATGCTGGAGTTTTCTTCTGCACCCTGTGCACTAACTATCGTCCCACCCTGCCACAATGGAGGTTCCTTGCTCATGTTTCAGTCACACACAATCAAAAATGCCCAAACCACCAAGGCAGTATTTATAGTTCACTTTTTATACCTTGGCTTATGCATGAGATTGCCTGGTTGCCTCAGTGCCTGTTTTATCTCCCTCTCTGTCAGTTTTGCTGCCTTCAGAACAATGGTATTGGGTGTCTAATAGCTTCTGCCAGGAGATGAAATATACTGCCAAGCAGGCGATGTGAAAATGAGGTGGGACACGTTTCCCTTTCCACCAAGACCCACTCCTGGTGGGCACAGATCTTCTGGGAGAGCCATTCATTGTGAGAAATGCATTCATGTGGCCAGACAAAAGGATGGACTCAGAAGGAAGAAGAGCAGTGAAAGGGAGGCTTTGATCAGCCTTGCAATGGCAGATGTCTGCTAAGCAGCCAAGGCACACCCAGAGAGATCACAGCAAGGCATTCATCCCTAGCACACAGGTCCCCTTCCAACAGTTTCTCAATGCCTGAATACTACGGAGGGTACAGTCTTCCCAGATGCCATCTAAGTTTTCTTTTTCTCTTTATAGGGCAGTTCTTTGGTCCCCCTCCCAATCTGAGCTTAGATTTCTTCATAATATTGTCTTTTTAATTCTGGGACTTTCTGAGAAGCAGATGTTCCTGGTTAGAGATTTCATGTGACCTTATGATTACTATGATTCTACTCAGCCATAGCTATCTATCATGCCTACATTTATTTTTTTCTTTCTTTCTTTCTTTCTTTTTTGGTTTTTTGAAACAGGGTCTCATTATATGGTTCAGGCTGGCCTTGAACTCACTATGTATTCCAAGATGGCCTCAAACTCTTGGTGATCCTCCTGCCTCAGCCTCCCGAGTGCTGGGATTACAGGCGTGTGGCACCATGCCCAGCTTCATCCCTACATTCTTCAACAAAGGCTTTTTTACTAGTTTATTTCTACCCCAAGGTCCATTTGCTTAAACACATTCTAAAGTCATGAACTTTGTCAGGCCATCAGGCAATGTTAACTATGAGGAATTTTCCACTCAGAGTTCAATAATATCTTGTCTTAAAAATGGACTACTTTAAATTTCTTTTGCTTACAAGTATCATAGAAAATTTAAAAATGAAATACAAAAGTACAAATTAAAAGGATGAGGGCTTTCTAACTTGCCACAGAATTAACCTAGCATAGATGAGGACCAGGTTCAATTATCAGCACTGATAAAAAAATACTATCTGCACTTGGTGGACAAATCACCTGCTCAATAAGTATAATGTATTAGGTGACTTGCAATATGGTTTTTATATATAACTGAAGTGAAATACATTTTTTTTTTTTTTTGTACCAAGGATCGAACTCGGGTCCTTGCGCTTGCACAGCAGGCGGCGAAACCACTGAGCTAAATCCCCGGCCCGTGAAATACATTTTTGTCCTTCACTGAATGCTTGTTCATATGAAAGAAATTGTTCACGTGTGACACTGGGACCCAACTTGTGTGTAGTGCCTTAAATCCCTTCATTTCTAACAAGGGTTCTGGGAACACACAGGTGCGTAATAATTATAAGTGAAATCATTTGGGAAATGGCAGTAACTAGATTTCAAGAAGGCCACCAGGAACCTGTGTACTAGGACTTGCCTATAATCCCTGTACTCAGGGAGACAGTCACAAGTACCCATATCTATCAGAGTCTGAGCAACATTAGGGATAACTTATCTCCAAATAGACTAATTAAAAGGAAGGCGAGGAAGCTCAGTGAGAAAGTCTTAGACTCAATCCCCTGGACCACATGAAATAAACAAACAGCCGGCAGCCACTGTTCTCTGCTTCCCTGGCTCCACACACTTCTCAAGTTCACTCTCACGTTGTGCTAAGGTTGGACTGTGTGAGCATTAGTACAGAAAATGCAAAGTATTTGACCTCCAAGATTAGTTCAAAAGACGCTGTGGCTTCCATCTTGTGCTTGGTTCCCCTCTCTTGTCTGCTGGTCCCCATGGGGAGGAAGTGGGCCTGCAGACTCTCATCCCCAGTAGACTCCAGATAGAACTTGGATCAGAACCACCAAGTCACAGAGCTAATCCAACAGCTCCGAAACTACAAGAAAATAAATGTCTGTTGGGGGAGCAGCAATAATACACATGTTAAAGTAGATCTCAGTCATCTAGTGAGTGTGAGGAGTGGCCTAGCCAATGGGGAGTGAGAAATCTGCTCATTTGCATGGCTGCCAGAGCAACACATGTGATGTCACAGGCATGCGGCCACTGACTTGGTCAGGTCTTCGCAACACTGACAGTTCGCCCCAGATGCCAAGGGACTGTTCAGGTGAGCACATCTATTTCTGCCTTCTCCTTTATATTCCCAAAGGTGAAGGAGTCAAACCACACCTGGCTCTTGATATTTCTGAGTCAACTGACACACTTTCAATGGTGCTTTCCAGGGCTTACTGCGAAGAAGAGTAGATGTCTCCCATTTCAATGTCTGGACTTACCTTTGGGCTTTGACGCCTCAAAATCCGTGCAGTGGGAAAAGTATATACTGTATGGTGTTTTGTGCTACTTAAACCCTTTTAAAATTTTTGGTTGTAGGGTACTGAGAATTAATCCTGGGGCATTCTTTCACTGAGCTATCTAGCCAGCCCTTTTTATATTTTACACATAGCCAGGGTCTCAATAAATCTTCACACTCCAATGATGAAATTTATTTCTGTAATTGTTCAAAAGCCACATATAGCAGTGGGTGATCAACCCATGATGTCATTTTTAGGTAAGCCTTAAAATTCAATTTTATGACATAAAGAATGCATACACGTTTTTTTCTGAGCACATCCCCAGAAACTCTGTGGATAAGGATAAAGTTCCATTTTACCATAAACTACATCAATCCCAATGACTCCTTTCCTTCCCGGCTCACTGTGGTTAGCTTCATATATATTAGTCAATTGCCTGTTCTTTTAATTTCCAAGCATCTATTTGCCCATTCATTGAAAAAGGCACATATAATAATAAAACAGTAATTTTGAGGGGTTTGCTGTTGTATACAAAGATTACCACAGACACAGTGATTTGTCACCTACTTGTAAATGTTTTGGGGAACTTTTTATATTAGTATAACATAATCGTCCAAACCTGCTATTTCATACTAAATTTAGCTAAATTTCCTCACTAAATAGGGTCAGGTCTCACCAATATTGTAAAAAACTCAAACACCAAGTTCAGTACTCAGTGAGGGTTCACAAGGAATACCTGTAAACATTTCAGATGCGATTTTAAAGATATTATTGAACCCATGTCTCAATCCTTAGTTTGTAAAGGAGGTGCTGATGTCAGGTCACCAACAGGACTGGAGTGACACTGAAGGAACTGACAGACCTAATGGTAGACTCTCGGGAACTGGTGAAGAATGCCGTGAGTTTCTTTGCTGAGTCTTTTGTCTTGGCACCAAGGAGATCTGACTCTAGCCTACCTGCACTCTTGTCTTCATAGGTAGGAGTTATCCTATTTTGACCCAAGGCATACTTCTCGCCTGAAGGCAGCAGAGCCAGCGTCTCTCTCGACGATTTTCCATTTCTCAGCTACTGAGGTGAGCTGGACCCACACTGTCCAACACTTTCCCCACTGCACTGCACTCTGGGTCTCTTGCCCCCCAGGACAGCACCCTGCTCCTTCCTCATTACCCAGGCCCAAGCCCATTTGCCTAGAAAATCCTGCCATCCACCCATAGCCTCAAGAAAAATCTACATTTTGATGCTAATTGTTGGATTGTGAGCATTATACTTCATAGCTATCCTGTAAAAAAGGATATTAATGCTGCTTACCCCACAGTCCTGTGGAGAGCAGTAAAGGTCATGTCTAAAGCATTGAGGAGGGATCCCCGGGTTGCAGTCATCCCTCAAGTGTTACCTGGCATAAATATCCTTTCCTAATGACAGTCCCTCATTTTTGCTCCTAGGAGGTGATTCCTGCCACTACCACTGACCGACATCCATCCTAGGTCAGAGGGTCTCTGACCCTGGTGCGCAGGGCCCCCTCAGGGCCTTCTCCCCTTGAGTCTCCCGTTGTGGAAGTTCTTCTGAGGGTGCAGATTTTGTCATCAACTCCTTAAGGTGAGTGAGACACTTGGCTTTCCTTCTCTCCTGTTTTCTCACAGCCCTGGTGCATGAAAACTGCAGTGTTCTAACAGTGCAGATGTCAGAGATAGGATGAGAGTTTGCAGGCCCAGCAGGGGACAAGAAGGAGGCTTGGGAAAGACATTTAGCTACTTCTAAGTCTCAGAGAAGAGGTTGCCCATGCCAGATAGAACGAAAGAGAAACATCTGGTTTAATTTACATGGTAGACGATGCGAATGGAGAGGTTGAGCCAGAGCCTTTATTGGGCTTTCTGAAGGCACAGCAAGGCAGAGCAGAGCCAGCAGTTCAGAAATGGCAAATTGGAATTTGCTCAGCATTGTTTGTTGGGAAGGTCACAAGATGGTAGCACTAGGCCCCAGATGCTTTAGAGGAGGGGAAATATCAGTGGAATATCTTGTGTGAGAACAGTAGATAAGGAAGGTGTTGGGAGTATAGATTCAGGAAAGGTTTGTTTGTATAGGAAGGACATGCCTGTGGTGGGATTTTTGGTGCTTGGAAGAATTGGTGAGTGCTGGGAAGGTTGTATCTTCCAGGACAGCGAGGTATTTTTTGTTTTGTTTTGTTTTGTACCAGGAATCAAACTCAGGGCCTCGAGCTTGCCAGGCAGGCACTGCACTGCTAAGCTATGCCCCCAGGCCTGCAGCAAGATGTTTTTAGACATCCAAACATCACACAATACAGAAAGTAATAGGCACTCTCCCATCCTCCACCCTGCACCATTCCACTGTTTCCCCCAGGATCTCTTCCTTGGGGATGTCACTTATTGATTACCTGCTTTCCATAAGCAGCTTGAAAGTTCACGGAGGGCAGGCAGTCTTTGGCAGGCAGCCTTTGTTGTCTTCCTGATGGGCAGAGACAACCCTAGGTGAATGGAAGTATGTTTCTAGAAAAGGGTATTATAGATAAATAACCATTGGGTCATCTTTACAGTTCAGAGTATCCTTCCCTAGATCAACTATAGTTCTCCCCTGAAGCCAGCAGAACCGACTGTTGTCTTTGACTTTCCATTTTTCAGCCTCTGAGGTGACCTAGACCCACTTGTCCAACACCCTTCCCACAGGACCCCTGGGGCTCTTGCCACCTGAAAGTGCAGTCTGTCCCTTCACCACCAGTCAGGGCCGAGCCAATTGGCCTAGAAAATCCTTCCAGCCCTGTGAAGAATGTGTGTTTTAAAGATACTAATTATTGGATTTTGAGCAATGCAATTAATTCCCCTCTAACTTGTAAAATGGAAGTAGTAATGGCATGACTCCATAGTCCTGTGGAGAACAGTAAAGGGCATGTCTGAAACATTGAGGAGAGACACCTGGGACAGAGCCATCCTAGGTCAGCGGGTCTCTGACGCTGGTGGGCAGGGCCCCTCAGGGCCTTCACCCCTTGAGTCTCCCGTTGTGGAGGTTCTTGTGAGGGTGCAATTTTTGTCATCAACTCCTTAAGGCGAGTGAGACACTCGGCTTAGCTTTTCCCCTATTTTCTCACCACCGCAGTCCATGAAACCTGCAGTGTTCTAACAGTATACATGTCGGAGATAGGATGAGAAAGAGTTTGCAGCCCTAGAAGGGGACACAAGTGAGGCTTGGAAGGAAGACGTTTATCTGCTTCCCGGTCTCAGAGAGGAAGTTGCCCATACAAGGGAGCACAAGGGGGGTATCATGGAATGCAGGAAGACCTAGGTGAGTGCAAGTGCAAGCTTTTTTCAAAGAAAGAAAGCATAGATAACTTACAGTTGAATTGAGTCCTCTTTACAGATCAGAGTATTTTTCACTAGCCAAACCATAGTTTTCACCAGAAGGCAGCAGAACCAACTGTCTCTCGTTGACAGCTTTCCATGTCTCAGCTACTGAGGTGAGCTGGACCTATGTCCTCCCACTCCCTCCACAGCACCTGGGAGCTCCTGGCACCCAGAACTACATGCACCCTGCTCCTTTACCATCATCAGGGCCAAGCCCATTTGCCTAGAAAATCCTTCCATTCACCAGCAGTGTTCTGATTGTCAGCAACATACTTCACCTCTAGTCTGTAAAATGACAGTAATAATGGCATCTGCTCCATAGGCCTGTGGGGAATAGTAAAGGGCATGTCTAAAACATTGAGAAGAGATTCCTGGGACATAGCCATCTCTCAAGTGTTAGCTGGCACAAATATCCTTTCCTAACAACAATCCCTCATCTTTGCTCCTAGGAATTTTTGTTGCCACCACCACTGATCAATATCGGTGAGATCTAAAGACCTCCGATCCTGGTAAGGCAGGGCCCCTCATTGGCCTTCACCCCTTGAGTTTCCCTACTTTAGTGAGATTCTTTTGAGTGTGCAATTTCTGTCACTACTCCTTATGGTGAGTGAGACACTTGGCTTGCCACGCTCTGTTTTCTCATACCCCAAATCTATCAAATCTGCGGCGTTCAAAGAGTGTAGACACAGAGATAGGATGATGGGAGTTTGTGTTCCAAAGATGGGAGAACAGCGAGCACTGGGAAGAAGACACTTATGTAACACCAGGTCTCAGGAAGGAGGTTGCCCTTGCCAGGTAGAACCAAGCAAAAGCATCTGGTTTGGGTGACATGGGAGAAGATGAGAATGCACGGGAACCTGAATGACAGCCTTCATTGGGTCTGTGAAGGTAAAGCAAGCCAGATCAGAGTAAGTAGCTAAAAACGTCAGGCTGCAATAATTTCACTGGGCTTTGGTTATCGGGATGTCTCTAGATGTTTGCACTTGGGCCCGGATGGTTTAGGGGAGGGGAAATATTAGAGAACTATCTAGATAGGTAAGTGGTTGAGATCAGACCCTGGGTTGGTTGGTTTTTATAGGAAATTCGTGTGTTGGGAGCGGCCCTTTACTATCCAGAAAAATCAGCTACACATAGGAGAGGGAATTTCTCCCAGGCCAACATGCTGCATAAGATATCTAAACAACACAAAATACAGAACATAAAAAGCACCATTGACACATGCAGGCCTGTAGGTGCCTTGATTTCTTCCTTGACCTTCACATGGACTTGTTCCTGTGGTCATGTGTCCAAATTTCCCTTTCCCTTGGAGACACCAGTCATTGAATTAGAACTCACCCTAAAGATGTTAAGTTGGTTACCTCTGTAAGGTCCCTCTGTCCAGATAAGGTCACATTCTCTGATGTGATCCTAAGTGTTAGGACATAGTTTTCCCATTACACACTTCAGACCATAATACTCACTCTCCTCCCCCTGCTCTGTTTTTGCCTCCCCTCTCTGCACCTCTGATTTCTGATTAAGATTATTTTCATTGTTTTTTATAGATACTGGTAGTATGGGAATATTTATGTTCAGTATGAGGAGCCCAATGTCTTTGCATTAAGCTACATCCCAAGCCATACATATATTATATATCCCTTCTCGGCCTTTTGGCTAAGATCAAGTGTAGTATATATATATTATAGTGTCTTGTTAAGTTATTAAATTGTCCAGGGTAAGCTCAAAGTTTTGATCCTTTTTTTTTTTTGGTACTGGGGATCAAGCTCAGGACCTTGTGCTTGGGAGGCAGGCATGGTGCCACTGAGCTATAACCCTGGCTCAAAGTTTTGATCCTAATGCCTCAGACTCCCAGGATTTTTTCTTTTTGGTTTTTTTGGTACAGGGGATTGAACTCAGGACCTTGAGCTTGCAAGGCAGGCACCAGAACCACTGAGCTAAATCCCTGGCCCTTCCCAGGACTTTTTTGGTACCAGGGATTGAACTCGGGTCCTTGTGCTTGTGCAGCAGGTGGAAAACCACTCAGCTAAATCCCGGGGCCTCCCAGGATTTTTTTTACTGTGGTAATACATATAGGATCTGACATCTTAACCATTTTTAAATGTACAGTTCAATGGCATTAAGTATATTTGTATTAAATTGAGTTTTTAATCTCCTTTAAACAACCATTTTCCTATAATAAATAAGATTTAAAATTTAGTTCCTCAGGTAAGCCAGTCACATATGAAGTACTCATGTTCTCTTTTTCACAAATAGATGTATAACATGCAAATAAAGGTCATTTTGTCTCCTTTCAGATAGAAATAGCTTGGTTTGATGGTCATGAGTTAGTGGGAAAACTTCCAGAACTGCATTTAATCAGTGTTTAAGATAGCACCCACTCTTGTTTGTGAATTAGGAAGTGATATTTTTCCTTATAAGTGCAGCCAGCCAGTCAGACTTACATCTATCTTTCCTTTCTCCTTTGCAACCCTGAATTACTGAATCATACTACCTGCTGAACCTTGTCTTTGTTGTCAATTGAATTATTAATCTTCATTTCTGCACATCTCACAAAATCCAAGGGCGATGGAATTCTGAGAAATACACTGCTTCCAGTTGGCATTTGGTCCTGAAATGCCGGCAGCCTTTATTTTCCTGGGGAAAAAAAAATCTACTTAATCCTCAAGGCCCCGTCTCAAGTGCTACCTCTCGTTTGCAAAACCTTTCCTGAGCGCCATTCACTTCAGGGTTAGTCTGCCCACTGGTTCCTACTATTATTTCCTCCTTTGAAGCATGGTGATATTGTGGATAGCCAATTATGCATAGCTCTGGATTCCCAAAAATAAGTCTCTGCAAAGTAGGTATAGCATCTCCAATGCATGGCACATTCTGAGTTCCAAATTAATATTTTGGGAATCCATAAGGAGCAGCTAGGGGTCTTAGATTGGGGGCAGGTACTGTTCAGCTTCAGGCTACCTTCAGGAGACCGTGCTCCTCAGAAGACAACTAAAACCTGCCTTGAGAATTTTCAGGCTTTAATGTTTTCTGTTGGTTGGGGGGAGGGGTGTTAATTATTATTATTTGCTCTGATGAATTAAATTAAATTAGTGCAAGGAAGGTACTCTTCCCTCTCTCTCTCCTCTCTCCTTCCTTGCCTCCCTTTCCTTTTTCTGTGGTAAAATATGATAGGCACTTCTTTGGGATATGTTTTGTGGCTAATCTATGTTTAGGCATTTCTATTATTTCTTCTTTGTTCATAGTGATTATGAGTAAAATCTACAAGAGGTAAAGGGTCTGGTTTAAGGGTTGACTAAGATTCTAAGTCCTTCTCCATTCTGGCTATAGACCATAAATGGATGGAATGGGTAGTGGCAGAATTAAGATAGGCCTTGATTACATCTGCATTAATGCACTGTCACCCTCCTTGATCCATTCAGTATTTGCAGCAGCCACACTGGTGATTAACTGGGAAAATAGTGGAAATTCCCAGCCTTCCATCCTGTACAATCCTGAGGGTGGCACCATTCTGTGCCCTTCACCCAAGTGTTACTCTCTTTGACGGAGTTCTTCAGGGCTTCCACTTGCCTTTCCCTACTTCAGTAGCTCATATTCTCTGAGTCTCTGTGTGTTTTCTGGCAACTCCTACGTATGATTATTTGAATACTGCATTTGGGAACCAGATAATGACCCAGTGGACTCAGTGTATCACCTGACCCCTCGCAATAAGGGAGCCCTGGAGGCGTTTAAGATCCCCATCTGTCTGCATTATCATGGACTCTGTAACCAAAATCCTAGAGATACCAGAGTAGTCCCCTTTTCCTAGTGGATGGTTCCTGAGTAAATTAAATGGCCAGAGTTCTTTGGAGACAAATTTGGACAATCACTACAGTGAATATGTGGCCTAGCTCTGGCTTCTCCTTTACTGAATGGGTGTTTGGACCTGAGAAGTGACTCAGTTCAGGGAAACCTGGCAGGTGACTATTTCTTTCCACTTAAACAGCTGATTGGTCTACTGTGCATCCAGATTTTATATAGGAAGGTATGCATCCTTCAATGACCTAGGCATTGTGCTTTTGTTGACTGCCTGCCATCTTCCCCATGATCTAGTTAGCAGCCATCTCTGTGGACCCCTGAAAGTCAGTTACTACTGTCACTGATGCCCTAGCAGCAAGCATGCTCACTTTGCTTCTGCTGAGCAAGTGCTGCCACCTGGCTTCTGTTACTCCAGGATCCTATCATCCTCCTCTCCTTGCCACAGGGGAGCCCAGTTCTGTAATGGCATCCCCTAGTCTCAACCCTGCCCCACAGATGACAACCACAACCATGAGTCACTGTTTCTCAACAAAGCTGGTGGTGCCTTCCCTGCACTCCCTGTCCCTACCCCGTGGTCATGATAAACAGTGTCTCCCAGGCCTTGTCAAGGAATACAGTCAGCGGGTAGCACTTGTTTTAGCATGTCCACTTCCCTGAGCCCACTGCTTCCTTCTGCCACTATATACCAACAAAGTCATGGTATCTCAGCTTCACAGAACGGGCACCTGTGCAATGGTGCATCAGAACCAGGACCCTTGTCAGAAGGGTTATATCTGTAATATAGGACAATGCCCATATTTCTACCAACTCTCTCATCTACTTGCCTGCCTCTGCCCCGTCCTCTAGCCTTCTTGGGATCCATTCCCAGTCTTATTTGCAGTTCCTGCCGGTATATATGAGCATGATTCTGTAGCTTCTTCAATTTATAGTTTCATTCCTCCCCTAGCAGACCTGGTATTTCCTGTCAGGTCATACTGGGACCTGATCTTAGTGAATGATCTGGTCGCCAGGAGCCATACAGAGGCAGAAAGAATACACTGTCTTGTAGAGAATCTGCCTCATCTGAGCTGTGTGCATAGACTTTGGGGTGGTAGCCACAGTCTCCAACAAGCAGGAGTGCCTGAAGTCTCACTGATACTAGATTCTCATTGTTAGTCTTGGGTCTCCTCTTACCAGAGCCCTGACATGTTGGAGCCTGATTATGGCTGAGAATTCAATTTTTCCTAAAGTTCTGCTCCTTTTGAAGTAAGTCCTGAGCCTGGTCCTCAGGGCTGCCTGACCTCTGACTATAGGTGACAACAGTTAGAATGGGTAGAGTAGAAGGGTCTCTCGCTTTCACACTTTGCTTTATATTACTGACCAATTGCCTGAAGCTTGTCAATTCCCCCTTTTTAAAAATACACAAATACGGCTGGGGATTTAGCTCAGTGGTTTTGCTGCCTACTGCGCAAGCGCAAGGACCCGAGTTCGATCACCGGTACCAAAAAAACCAAAAACCAAAAATACACAAATACTCAATCTCACAGTTCTAATTACCAGTCCCCCCCACATCTTCAAACATCAGAGAGGGCTGGGGATTTAGCTCAGTGGTTCCAGCGCCTGCCTTGCAAGCGCAAGGTCTCGAGTTTGATCCCCGGTACCAAAAAAAAAAAAAAAAAAAAATCAGACAGAATAGGCCACCACACCCCTTTTTACCCACATCTGGCCATAGTTTCTCTCAAGTGGGAGCAACTATTAGTATCCCACTTACTACTTGGAATCTTATGTTTATACTCTCCTAAGAACCATTCCTGGTACTGTGTTTAGCCAGGCTTCCTAGAAGTAGGGCTTGAGGCAGAATTAGGTGTTTATGGTATACTGTGAGAGAGTTCCGGGGAAAGGGGTAATGAGAGGTGAGGGGAGAGAAGACTCAAGGAAGAGTATGGTCTCAGTGGGATATCAGGCTGCCTTCGAGAGAAAGGGCCTTCTGTGGGTTATTAGCGGCCACAACTCAGAGCAGGTGAGAGGGGATGGACCAGGCAGCCAGCAGAAAGGATCTGGGTAGGGAGTTAACAGCGTCTACTACAGCTCCCTGGTATCTGGAAGTCCTCAGAAAAACTAATTCATCCATCTTTGACATCTGTTGCTCTTTGATTACCTGGGAGGATGTGGGGACACTTGGCACATGAGAGTGTTGGTAATGGAGACAGGCTGAGTGATTTCTGTAAGTCACACAGCTTGTAAGAACAGAGGCAAAGTGAAATTTTCTCCAAACAAAAGTTACTTTAAGGTCTCCTCTGGAGTATAGCAAGTTTCTGGGACAAGTTTGCCAACTATCTCAACCAAAGATCCAGCCATTTGAAGGCAGGGATTTCATATTCTTTTAACTTCTCTCTTCTTGTCAGTTTGCCAAAAGTGGCACTCAGAAAAGGATCTCTTTTGTTTGCTTTGAGGTCATGGAGAAGGTAGAGTGGGGAAGTGCAACTTCCTCTCCAAGAGCCTGAGTGGAAATTCCAAGGGATGATTAAAGAATTCTTTTTCTTACCCAATCTGCTCAAGCACCCTGATAATGAGTTTAAGGAGATGGTGGAAGGGGCAATTTGTCAATAGACTGTGAAATGTAAAGTGAAATTAAAAGCCAAACTTCTAATGTGACTTCCAAGGGAAGCATTTTGGTGTGGTTTTTTTGGTATTGGGGATCGAACTCGGGTCCTTGTGCTTGTGCAGCAGGCAGTGAAACCACTGAGCTAAATCCCCAGCCCTGAGAAGCATTTTGAATATCACAAAGCTCAGATAAATATCAAGGATTTGGATCCAGTTTTTAGCATTTGGGTTTAATCATCTGAGAGTTGTTTGGAAAAGGGAAGGAAGTTACTGAGTCCATTCCTATGGCTGATCTCTTCTCAAAAATATCTTAATGTTGAAAGGGCTGTGAAGGAGAAATTCCATAAACATTCTTTATCAAGAAGAAAGTTGTGATGTTAATTCTGAAAGTGGACACTGAACACTGGAGGACTGGAATTCACTTCTCCCTGTTTCCTTAAAGTACTTCTGCTTCAAATACTATTTGATATTCTAAAAGCAGTCTATAGAGGAAGTAATGAGTGGGGCCTCACAAAGGGCTGTGTGGGAGAGGGAGGAATGGATAGACTTTCTATCAGCACGTGTAGGAGTGCGGTGCGGCATGGTGCTGCGGTTTGTAGGAAAGTCTGTTTATGGCTCGAACACGTAAAAGAAAAAAGGAAACTTGACCCTTTCAATTTCAGACTGAGGAGTTTACACTTTTCTTTGGGCAGAGGAAGTTTCTGAAGACTGATCTGTGGTTCTGAAAGACCATCTTATCCAGACCATGAGAGAATCAGAGTATCAGAGAAAGAGAGGAGACTGTCAGAATGGGCTTGAGGAGAGTGAAGGATAACCTGGGGTCGGAACTACATCCCCTGGGGTGGGCAAGCGGATATGAGTTCAGGGAAAGAGGCTGGGTCATCTAGGGAGGGCAAAATGCAGAGAGGGAGACTCAGCTAAGCGCCATAGCCTTAATCAAAGCAGGCAGGAAACGCAGGGGTCAGGAGGCGCAGGAAGCAGGAGGCGGAGGTTATGGAAGGGAGAGGTGAGGATGAACCATTTGCTCTGTTGGACCTCGTAGTCAACGACCAGTAAGTGATCGGAAGTATGACTCTAGTACGGGGATGCAATAGCCGGTCCACTTGCCCTCAAACACTGCAGCCTTTCCAGAGCCATTTTCAAGACGCTCCCCTTCCTGGAACACTGCGTGCAGTCTGATGGACAGCCGCGGGGTCCCGCGGACCTCAAGGCCGAGGGTTGCACACCACATTCGCGCAGGGCAAAGCGCACGAATGGGAAGAGGTTTGCACCCACCCTGTTGCTCTCTGGGTGGTGGGACTCCAGCGTCCCAGCTCGCAGGGGGGACCGGAGCAAAGGCCGCCGCAGTCTAGTCCCCGGAGCGCCAGGCGGAAGGGCCTCTTCTGCCCTGCGCCGCCGCTCGCTCAGCCAATCAGTGCGCTCCTTCAGCTGGCGGTCGGCGCTCTGCTGACGCGCGAAACCACGCTTGCGCCCGCCGCCCTTCAAGGACGGCCCCTCCCGCGCTCGCCGGGCCCGTTAGCTGCGCGCCGCACCTCTTTTACAACGGCGCCTGGGCGGCGGCGGCGCGTGCAGGCGCGGCCCTGGCGCGCCCCCTGGCGGCCCGGCGGGGGCGCTACGGGCGCGGCGCTGACCCGGAGGCGGCGGCGGCGGCGGTGCCCGGATGGAGGCACGTCATTGTCCCCCGCCGGGCGGCTGGGCTGTGTGCGGCGGCGGAGGCGGCGGCGGCGGCGGCGGCCGCCAAGGGGGGATGGCGCGAGCGCCGGGCCGGGTCAGGTAAGCGCCCGCCTCCTTCCCGCCTGCCGAAGGCCAGCATGGGACCCGGCGCGCGCCCCGCTCGTCTCGGCCGCAGCCGGCCCGGCCGCCTCTCACCCGGCGCAGCCCCTCGCCCGCCACCCCCTCCGCAGCCGCGGGCTGCCCGGGACCCTGCCGCGCCGGGAACAAGCCCGCTGCCGTCCGCACGGGCCAGGCCGCGGAGGAAGGGGCGGCGGGCGGGCGAGCCCCGGGGGGCTCGGGGAGGCCGGACCCCCGGTTGCCGTAGACGGCGCTCCCACCCCCGCGGGCCCCAGCTAGTCCCTTGGCCCGCGAGTCCGCGGGATAGCGGGCTGCTGCGAGGTGGCCCTGCGGGCTCGGGGCTGCTGGCCGGGGTGGGCGTGTGCTGGCCGCCGCCCGCCGCCGCCCCCCAGCGTGGCTGCCACCTCCCGCCTCCGATCCCGGGCTGGTCTCCCCGCCCCCACCTCGGCTACCCGGGGCAAACTCCCACCCGGGGCGCTCCCTGCCCGGCGGCTCGCGCGGGGTCGCCCACCTGGGTCCACGCCTGGTTGTCCGAGCTACCCACGCCGGGCGAGGCGAGCACTGAGGGGAGGCAGGCGGACAGGCGAGCTGGCGGCTAAAAGCATGTGTGCCTCTCTCGCGCTCTTTATTTTTGGGGCAGGAAGAGCCAACTTACCAGAAAGGAGGCTGCGGGGCGTGGGGAGGAGCATCAGTTTCAGATGTTTGAAATGAAAATTTGACGGACGGAAGTTTTATCATCCAGGACTTTAACCTCTAATGAATGCTGTTGAGATTACTTTTGTTGAATTGCTCTTTTATGTTTGCGAGGGGGGGGTCTTGTTTATGAGAAAACATGTTGGTTATTTCAAGTAAATACACTCCTGTAACAGTGAAAGTGGTTGAAAAACTGTTTAGTTACCGCCTCTTTTTCAGAAGAGCAACAGTATTGCAGGCTTTCATGCATGTTTTTGGAATACAAATAATTCACTTTTTACTGTGCTACTCATTCAAAGTGCATAGGATTTATGAATAATCAGCTTCACTTATTTGTTTTTACTTAGGATCAGTTTCACTTTCTTTTCTAAATCATTGAATCATTGCTACAGTATTTGCTTTGTAAAGGTTTAAGGCTAATCATTTTTTGTTTACTTAACTATAATTAAAATCAAGGCTGTGTCCTTTTAAAACGTGTGTGTCTCAAAATCGAAATGGTACAAGAACCTGGATTACATTGTTTATGAAGAACTGGAATGTAACAATTTCTGTTTAAATATGTTGATGTGTACTTTAGTGCAGGTGGAGTGCCACAATGTTTAAATAGTGATACTCTTTTAAAAACAACAAAAATAATGCATTCTTAGCATTTGGTCACCATAAGAGAAAATTACCCGTGTGTAAGGGACTAGGAGTTTTAAGGCTGTTGAGTAAAAGATTGCACTTAAAGCAAAGGAAACATTTGTGAAGTTGATTTGTCTCATTCTTACACATGCATCAAACTTTGATTCATGTTCCTGTTTTTTTTAACATGCCCTGGTAACTATATCTTTAGGAGGTGCTGAGAGGAATGTTAAACTTTTCATTGGAGTAGTTGTTTAAAAGTCTTGATATTTATAGCAGTAGTATTTAGAAGCTTTACTGACAGTAAAGAACATGGAACTATTTGAATCTTAACATTGGCTATAAGAAAGGCAGATGGAGTCTAGTTTGATACCTGATGGTTTTAGAGTAAGATTTTATTGGCTGAATATGCAATGAATGAATTTGGTTTGCATTCCCAAACTTGTAATACTAATGTGATTATTGATGAGTTGTGTTTTCCTTAAATTTATTTTTCATTTAAGTTTTTTTTTCCTTTTACTGGAGCAAATAAAATGGTTTTATTTGGTAATTTGTTAATCATTGTCTGGAAGTAATGTTCATCTCAGGAAAATCAAGATCTTTGCTGCTATTTTATATTATCGTAAATAAGGCTGGATTAATGTTTTTTATTACTTAATTTTGGCCTTCTTTTCCTTCTCCTCTGCCCTCTCCTCTTTTCTAACACCTGTCCCCACACATTTCCATAGTATCTGCTGTTAGGTGGTTAGGTGAGGAGAGTGTGAACTTTATTAGGATAGACTCAAACTTTCTTCTTGAATGAGAGTCATGTATTTTCAGTTAAAAATTTAAATTTTTTTTAGTTTATTAAGATCTAACATTTTTTGTATTTCTACATTGCCTTAATTAAAAATTATAAAGAACAAAAGTAATGCTTTTTAAAAAATCTTATTGTGAGCAGCAAGTTCATGGTAATGTTTGCTGAAGTGGGAAATACCATGGGTATTTTTTGAGACAGTTTTATTTTTTGAGATAGTTCAAGCTGACCTTGAACTCACTGTGTAGCCCAGGGTGGCCTCGAACTCATGGTGATCCTCCTGCCTCAGCCTCCCGAATGCTGGGATAACAGGTGTGCGCCACCATGCCCGGCATATGGGTATTTTAAAGGCAGCTCAAACTTGAGTATATGTGGAGTGCAGAGTTTTTAAAGGATTAAATGAGATGCTGTATATAAGTCACTCAGCGTAAGCTGGTGCTAGAAGCAAATGCTAGTTAATTCCCTGTTTGCAGAAATTCTGTTCATTTATTTGTTGAACATGTGTGAAAAGTTTTCTCCACACCAGGTCATAATATAAAAACATATGACTTTTTAAAATGTTTTTATGTACATGATATGTTCTCTAGTCTGAAATAAAAACATATCATGCTAGAGATCACCAAGTAAAATAGCTGTAGAATAAATGCTGAAGTGCTGCCATAGAAATCAGCACAAGGGTGCTGGAGGAGCTTTTAGGAGAAGTTTCTAACTCAATCTTAGGGGAAAGGAGTTGTCAAGGAAAGTGTCCCAGAGGACATGAACTCTAAACTGAGTAGAAATGTTAACTGGCCAGAGGGGGAAAGACAGGGAGGGAAATAGATTTTAAAAAAGAATAGCATGTGCACAGTCCAGAGAGAGTGGGCCTGGAATACGAACTCAGTGTGGTGGGGACTTGACATGGGGAGTGCTGGGAGTCAAGTCTAGGGTCAGGGCAGGTGCTGTGGATGCAGTGTTTTCTGCACGATAGTGGCGTACCTGGATTGGCTGCCTGGGCACCCTAGGAAACATCACTTTTAAGTACTCTGTTGAAGGTGGTCTAACGCGGAGGAGGCCAGGTCGCTCCTGGTCCCAGTTGCTAACAAGTTTATAGACCCTGTGGATTCTTGTCAGATCTTTCATAGTTTCATTCTGAAAATTAATCAAGTTAATGTTTGTCCATCAGTGCAATGCCCTGGACAGTGCTTAATTAGTAGCTTTAAAATAGGATTTAGAGAGAAAATTGTAATTAAGTACTTTTATAACATGTATTTGTGTTCAAGTTTGATGTCAAAGCCCTACAAGTTTTATTTAAAAAGTTGTAATACTGTATAAATGAACCTTTTCAGAAAAATGTTTGAGACTTTCTATAATTATAATTTCTTAAGAGTATAATGTACTTTTTGTTGAGACAGAGTCTTACTACATATCCAGGCTGGCCTTGAATTCCCTGTGTAGCTCAGGCTGGCCTCAAACTTGAGATTTTCCTGCCTCAGCCTCCTTGGTGCTACCATTATAGACGTGCACCATCATGCCCTGTTCTCATTTTGAACTTTGAGCAAAAAAATCAAAGCTAGTTTTTCTCTTCATGTAGTAATAGTTTATTAGCAATAGTTCCCAGTGTTAAATAGATAGATACAAGTAGGTACTTAGTAAATATGAGTAGATATAAAATTAGAAATAGGGCCGGGGATTTAGCTCAGTGGTTCTGGCACCTGCCTCGAAAGCGCAAGATCCCGAGTTCGATCCCCAGTACCAAAAAATAATTAATTAATTAAAATTAGAAATTGAAGTGTCTGATTATAAACAAATATACTTTTAGGAGGCATTGAAAGACTTCATTAAAGATTTTGAAGTAAAAATTGATATTTTTGGATTAGCATGATTCTACATGTCCCAAGAAAATTATTAAAAAGTAGTAGAGGGCTGAGGCTGTAGTTCAGTGGTAGAATGCTTGGCTGGCATGGGTGAGACCCTGGGTTTAATCTCTAGCACTGCAAAAAAAGAAAAAGAAAATACTCTTGTTTTTTTACTTGGATGATTTGTTTGAAAATAATTTAAAATGGATACAAAACATTCCAAAGATTACTTTTCTCACTTTGTGAAACAAATGTGTGCTTTTTGACTTTTGCAGAGTTGAACAATGTCCATAACTGAAAAACTTGCAGCCTTACACATCTCAGACTGTCAGAATCAGCCTAGCAGGTCCAACACATCCTCACCTGAAGACATGGAAACGGACTGTTCCAGCTGGAATGCCGAGCCTACATTGAGTGATATACCCAATCACACACTTTCTTTAGGACCAGTACCTGGTGCTGTCTATTCAAATCCGGCTGTACCTGATAAATCAGAGTCGTCACCACAAAAGGATCAAGGTACTATTTTTTTTTTTTTTTAATCATTGCCAGAAACTCCTGTATGAATGCTGTCAGTGGGTTGGTAGTTTCAGAGAGGGCCTTATTTTGTAAGAGTTAGTGCCATGTGGGTGGCCAGCATTATTTGATGGAAATTATTTTCCTTTAGTGAGTAAGCATTCATTATTAACATGTATCACAACAGGGTATTATTTTTTAGTTACTAAAATAACAGTTTTTTTATTTCTAATGTTTTGAAGGATAAACTATCTTGGAGAGAATGGAGATGAGCAAGCTTTATATTTTCAGTTAACCAGTAGTTATAGTTTCCTAAGTAGATACAGTATCTGTCTTTGGAAAAGAGCAGATAATATAAATGTTACATTTGTTAAAACAATGTAAGCATAGTCACATTTGTTACAATTCATCCAGATAAATGAAACATTGACACTTTTAATTGGTACTTTTAAGACTTGGATTTAAAGTATTGAAGATTTGAAATACAAAGAAAGGTAATACTAGACTTAGTTCCTAATTGGAATGTTGTCCACCTTAGAATAATTTGATCCTTAGTATTGTTTTGAGTCCTCTGAGTAAGTTTGATATTGTGGTGTGAGAATGGATAGTATGGTTTGTTAAAGGTGTTGAGTGTGTGGGAGGAGAAGCTTACATCACAAAACACAAACAATTTAATTGAATGTTACACATAGAGATTTAAGATCCTTTGGCTTCACCATCAAGACTTTCCCACGGGCCATCTTTCTGCAAGGCTTCAGCTCCTGTCATGTTGCTGGGGCTTTCCTTTCTCTCCCTTAGGACTTAGCTCACATTCCTCACTCTGCCCTTTTTAGGGACCCTTGTCTTACAGATTCATTTTCCCTTTCCTAATTTTGTTCTCTGTTCCCCATCAAGCCAAAGCCTACTTAAATAATCATTAATATCTCTTCAAATAGAGAACCATCTACAGGCCATCTTTGCCTTTCATAGCGCCAGGAAACTAGCAATTAGTTTTGCTCCTGGTAATTTTGAACTTTCCTATTAGTTTCTTCAACATCACTTGCATTCTTTTAGCATGCTTAGTTATTAGTAATCTGTTTAAAAGCCTTAACAATAGATACAAACCTCTTTAGGACACACGTATGTAGTACACTTGAAAGTAACAGCCTGGTTCAAAGCCTATTTTCTTAGTGGTAAATGGAGACAGCATCAGTACCAACCATTAGAACGGAAACTATGGCCCCTGGGGAAGGCTTAGCTGCTATGATGGTAAGAATGGAGGTGGTACTGAATACAGCCATCCAAAACAAATGTTAAAGGGAATTGGGTTACTTTATATATTCTGTTGGTTATAATGAACTCTCATGAAATCATCAGCCAGTCTTGACATTTATTAACTTACAGCCAGCTCACCCACTGACCCTGTCCCCAGTATTTTATTTTATTTTTTATTTTTATTTTTTTTGGTACTGGGGCTCAAACTCAGGTCCTTGTGTTTGCGCAGCAGGCGACGAAACTGCTGAGCCCCAGCCTGTCCCCAGTATTTTAAAGCAAATCCAGTATTTCATATTTCATTTCTAAATATTTTAGTGTGTATATGTGTAGAATTCTTTTTAAAAGTTAAAAATGTCTTAAAAATCTAGTCAATATTCAGATGTCTCTGGTTGTCATATAATTTTTTTTCAGTACTAGAATACCAGGGATTGAACCCAGGAAGTGCTGAGCTATTTTTTTTTTTTCAGAACAGGATCTTGTTAAATTATAACTTGTCCAGACTGGCCTAAAACTTGCAATTCTCCTGCCTCAGCCTCTTGTGTAGCTGTGACTGCGGGTGCACACTATCATGCCTGGCTGTATAATTTGTTTTCAGTAGTTAGTCATTGAAAGAAACATCCAAATGGAGTCTGCACTTTGCATTTGTGAATATGTCTGTGAAATTTCTTTTAATTTGTAAACTGCCCCACTTTTTGTGTTTGCAGTTTATTTATTGAAGAAACTAAATCATTTAGTTTCTCATGTTCTAGGTTGTCTTTTAAATGTCCCTTTCTAACCCTGTATTTCTGGCAGTGATAAAACAGGTTTAGAATTTTGATTTATTTGGCTTTAGAAACATGCCAAGTTTTGTTTTTAAATCTTTGCTGTTTATTTTTCTAGCCCTAGGTGATGGCATTGCTCCGCCACAGGAAATTCTCTTTCCGTCAGAGAAAATATATCTCAAGTGGCAGAAAACTCAAAGAGTTGGTGCTGGGCTTCAGAATTTGGGCAATACTTGTTTTGCCAATGCAGCATTGCAGTGTTTGACATACACACCACCTCTTGCCAATTATATGTTATCACACGAACACTCCAGGACATGTAAGTATTCTATGCTGTGGTATGTTTGTGGACTGTGGTATGCTAACCTACTCATTTTTTTCTTTCTGAAATAAAAAGAATTAAGTCGAGTTATGTAATCATTAAGAAGTTGGTTTATTCTTTTAGAATCCAGGATTTGTACTTAGCTTGCCTAAGAAGCATATTGCATCTAATTTGACCTGGAAGTGAGTATTTAAAAGGAAACCTATTTTATCATCATTTAGCATTTCTAACCCCCTCCTAGTTTTCTACATTTGTTAAAAATGTTTTTGTTTTCATTTTTGTTGTGTTGGGGATTGAATCCAGGATCTCACACATGCCAGGCAGGTGCAGCACCATTGAGCTACCCTCCCAGTTCTTATACTTGTTAAAAATGTGACATAGTGTCTCACATTAACAGTTGGGACAAGCAGGGTTAAGAATCCTGCCCCTCTGGCACTCATTGGAAGGCTTAATTCATTTCAGGCTTGTACCCCCAAAAGGAGAGGAATTCTCAGCACTGCCCCCAACCTTGTCATACAGGACTTTCCTTTTAGCATTTGAGAGCTCCATCTTCAACCTACAGGGTAGAAAATCAGTTAAAATGTATGAAGATCTCTTTAAATAGGAGCCAGCTCAGTGTTGACTGGAATTTAGAATAGCCACTTTTGACCTTCTGCATGTCTGAATATCTGTCATCTTTTATAAATGAAGTATTCCTGTTCTTTGGTCTGAATTAATGTTCACATTTGTGTGTGCACTCTGGTGCTATTTGTTAATGATTTGGATATAACAAATGAAAACACTCCCTTAGTTTTTTCTTGAATAATTCTTTACTGACTGGAGAATTTAAACTGTTTTACAACTGTTTTTCCATTCAGAGAGAAAAATAATACTTGTAAAGTATTTGATAAGTACAGAAAAACTTAAACCAAAGAAAAGTCACTTAGAATCTCATCACCAAGGGGTTTTAAATTATAGAATGAAATTCTGCTTGGTCTTGATTTCTAAGTCCCCAATTCATTCATTCCCCATAGACAGCTTTCCTGTCACTTCTGTGCTTAATGAAAGTAGGGTGTGGTTGCAAACCCAGTACTGGCACCTGGACGGCAAGAGAAAGTACCTGTCCTATATATATTTTGTCCTGTTGTGTTAGATTTATACCTTTTTATTTCTCCTTCTCCTGGTTTGTTTAATTTTTGATGTCTATGCAGTCATTGCTGGAATAAAGAGATAACATTTGATTTCTGCATTGTGTTGATCTTGTACACTGACCGTGCTGAAGTCATTTATTAGCTCCAGGCTTTTGTTTTGTTTTCTTTTTTGGATAGATTCCTTGAAATTTTCTACATGCACAGTCACGTTATGGCATGTGCCAATCAGGACAGTTGTACTTATACTTCATGGGTCTGTTGGCCTTATTTATTTCCTTGTTTTATTTTCTTATTTCACTGGCTAGTACTTCTAGCACTCTGTTGAATAATAGTGGTGAAAACAGACGTCCTTGCTTCTTTGCTGTTGTTAGGGGAAAGCACTCAACTTGTCTCTATTCCTATTTTTCTGATTCTTATTTTTTTTTATCCTGAATGTATATTTGGTGTATATTGATTTTTGTCAAATGATTGATATGATTATGTGATATTTCTTCTTCAGCCTGTTAATACGATGAATTACATTGGTTGATTTTTGTATTATCTCTGCATACCTGGAATAAATTCTGGTCATAGTATGTAATTCTCCAGATAGATTGCCCAATTTCATTTGCTAATAGATCAGTAAGGGTTTTTACATCTGTACTCAAGAGAAATTTTTTTTGTTTTTGCACTGTCTTTGTCTGGTTTTGGTGTCAGGTTAAATTAGCCCCATAATTTTGTAGCTAGTTGGAATGTATTAGCTGCTTTCTTTTTCTTTTGAAGAGATTTTATAGAATTGTTAGTTCTTTTTGAAATGTTTAGAATTCTCCAGTGCAACTATCTGGGCTTGCAGATTTCCTTTTTGGGAGTTTTAAAATCATAAAGTGAATTCCCTTAGTAAGTATGGGACCACTGAAGATATTTACTTTTTATTGGATAAGTTTTGGTAGTTTGCTTTTTTGAGAAATTAGTCCATTTCTTCTAAATTTACATGTGTAAAGTATCCATAATATTTATTATCCTTTCAATGTTTTCTGGGCCTGCATTAATATATCCCCAGTTTCATTCCTGATATTGGTAATTGTTATAAATTTCCCTTTCAGCACTGCTTTGTGTCCCCAAATTTTATTTTTCTTCAATTCAGTATATTTTTAAATTTCCCTTGATACGTACTCTTTGATCCCTGGATTATTTAGACATCTTCAGATTCCAGTTATTTGGAGATTTTCTTTCTCTTTTTGATTTCACTGTGATTGGAGAAGACATAAGTTTCTTAAGGCCTCTGAAACAAATGTGTACTCTGCTCTTGGTGGATGGAATGTTCTATAAATGTTGATTTGATCTGGTGGCTGAGAATATTGTTGAGTTTTTCAATATATTTTAGGGTTTTCTGTTGAATTATTCGGTGAGTCATTGACAGAAAGATGTTGAGGTTTCCGTCTCTAAATGTAGGTGTCCCTTTGTCTCCTCTCAATTTTGAGTTTGATTTGTGTATTTTTCAGCTTTGTTGTTTGGTACAAACACATTTAAGATTGCTGTCTTTTTTTATGTTGGATTTTTTATTTTTAAAAATTTTTTAATGATTTTTTTTTTTTTATACCAGCCATTTTCACATTTTGAAGCAGTCTTGGTAAGTTGTCCTGGCTGGGTTCAAATTTGTGATCCTCCTGCCCCAGCCCCCCTAGATAGTTGGGATTACAGGCATGTGCTACCACGTCTTGCAGGATTTCTTAATGAAGTGACCCTAAATATGTAATGCATTGATTACATTAAATATGTAATATCCCTGTCTCTATTTTGTCCATCCTGTCATTCATTCATTCATTTGGTATTGGCGATTGAACCCAGAGCCTTTGGTCTGCTGTTTAACTTTATCTGACATTAACATAGACTTTTTTTTTTTGAGTAATAGTTGCGTATGTATCTTTTTGATCCTTTTACTTCCAGTCTGCCTGTAGCATTACATTTGAATTTGATTGTTACAAATAGCATATGGTTGGATCATGTTTTTTAATCCATTTTGTCAATCTGTGCTATTTATTTGTTACTGGGAATTGAACACACAGGGCCTTTGCACTCAGCTATATCCCCAGCCCATTTTTTTACTTTTTATTTTGTTTTTTGTTTTTTGGGGTTTTTTGTTTTGTTTTGTTTTGTTTTTAGGTACCAGCAATCCAACTCAGGATCTTGCACTTGCGAGGCAGGCATGGTGCCACTGAGCTAAATTCCCGGCCCTTTTACTTTTTATTTTGAAACAGTGTCTTGCTAAGTTGCCCAGGCTGGGATCAAACTTGTGATCCTTTCTGACTCAGCCTTCCAGAGTAGGAATTACAGATGTGTACACCACGCACTGCTAATCTGTGCCTTTTCATTGGTTATTTAAAACATTAGAGTTAAGAGGATGATGATGATTTTGGGGGTTTTCTGGTACTGGGGATTGAACTCAGGACCTTGCACTTGTGAGGCAGGCGGCGGCACCACAGAGCTAAACCCCAGCCCCAAGAGGATTATTGCTTTATTGATATCCCAAGGCTTAGTGTGCCATTTTATGTTCTGTTTTTTGTTTATTTTCTTCTTTTTTTTTCCACTTCTGCGCCCTGTGGTATTACATTATACATACATAATTTTATCAGTCTACTGGTATTGTCATTTTGCCAGTTTGAGGAAGTGTAGAAGTATTATCTTTTTTTGTCCCTTTATTCTCTCTTAAATTATAATTGTTTTGGATTTTTTTTTCTACTTACACTCAGAACCAGGTTGGGGAGTATTATCATTTTTGTTTGAGAATTTTTTGGTTCTTGGCATAGTGAAGGGTTTTCATTTGAAACCTGGGTGTTTTTACATTATATTATGAGACACTGGGTCTTATCTAAACTGTGTTTCAGCAGAAGCCCAGGTTCTTCCATTCAGCCTCCATGGGCTCACATTTGGGCTTGGGGGCCTTTGTTGCTGCAGGATGAGAGTGAAGTTGTAACTCCGCAGGGTCCTCACTGACACTGCAGTGGGAATGGCTCTGTTAGTACTGGGCAAGTCCTGGTTCTGACCCTGAGGGTGGGATTAGAAGGCGTATTTCTGTATTGCGGGTTGAGGGTGGGAGAGGAGGCTCCACAGATCTTCACCTGCATGGGGCGGGGGGACTTAGACCCACTGTGAGGAGACTTCCAGCTCCTCATCCGCCACCTCTAGGTCTATCCCAGGGTGGGTTGAGTGCCATAGTCTGGCAGGTGAAGTCTAGGCTCTTCACATGGCCTCTGGAGGTGTGGGTAGAAGTGGGTCATAGTTGCTCCACAGAATTTGGTTGTTCTTTTACATAATGGTCAGTCAGGTACAGCTTTGGGTGGAAGGCACAGGGGGAGGCTCAAGAAAAATACATTCCAGGATATTCATAGGTCCTGGAGACAGCAGGCATGGTATGCTACTTAAGGCCACGTGGGAAAGACATGGTGGTCAAGAAGTAGAAGTCAGGAATGAGAGGGAAGCATTAGGGCAGAGCATTTATTGAGGTTTCCACAGGCAAAGCAAAGCAGGGCAGGGTAAATCCATTGCGGTGACTCATTTGAATAGTTGTAGTGGGCTCCAAGCCACAGGGGTGATCCTTAGTTGCCCAGCCCTTGAGCAGGGATTGGGTAATGCAGAATAATACTGCTCCCTGGGGTGTACAGACCAGATAGAAAGGAGTGGTTCTGGACTGTTGAATTTGCATAGCAAAGGTATTCTCATGGCTGAGCCAATCCCTGTCTCTGAGAAGTGGGAGGGGCAGTGTCTTTCCAGCCAGAAAGGTTTTTAAAGGTGCAGTCAAAGGCTTTTAAAGGTAACATAATATTCATGGGGAAATGCATTCTAAAGTTGTCTGTCACACTAGACTGCCCCTTCCTCACCGTTTGGTTGAAGAGAACAGGCAGGCTTTCTGTGGGGGCTTTGTTCTGTGCATTTGTTGGTGTTTCCAGGTTGCTGACTTATTCAGCTCCAAGTTTGGAATATTTAAGGCACAGAGAAAACTAGAGAAGCCACTACCATGACCTTCTAGTGTCCTGAGATCCCTTGTATATCTCTTCTCTCTACCTTTCAGAGTCATGTTTGTTGAATATACAGTTCTAAGGATTTTTTGTTGTTGTATATGGCAGAAGGAATAGGGAAAAGTACTTCTGTTTCCTCTTCCTAGATATGGAAAACTCATCTTTGTGAAAGATGTTGACGTCTTTTTTTTTTTAATACTTGAAAGATCTTACTGCACGGTCTGCCGGTCTGCATTGTTTCTAACAGTTTTCCCTTCCTTTCTATATACGGAATGTTTTTTTATTTCTAGCTGCTTTTAAGATTTCCTCACTTGTCCTAAGCAGTTCTATTTGGGGTTTATTAAGGTTCTTAAATATGTGCATGTACTATTTCCATGAAATTGGGACAACTTTTGGTCATTTAAAAAAAAACAACATATACTTCACGGAATAAAATTAAGGTTTTTTGTGTGAAGCTAAAACACATGTAATAGCATTCATGTAAACCACCACCTCACCTCAGTCAGAATACAAAACCATTCCATCACCCTAAAATATTCCTTGTGCTGTTCTTTTGTAGATAAGTATTTCTTAATATATTTATTCCATCCCTTTACTTTCAGATTGTAGTTAAATGCATATTATGGCCAACTTGAAATTTTCCCACAGCTCACTTACCTTTTTTTCACTCTTCAAGGTTTCTTTTTCCTCTTGGTGTATTATTATGGCAAGCTTCTATTCATAGTGAATGTCTTCAAGTTCACTAATGTTTTCTTCTGTGGTCCATCTGTTATTAATCCTCTCTAGTATATTTTTCATTTCAGAGATTCTACTTACATATTTTTTAGCTTTATTGTGGGATGTAGTTAACTAGAAATAGCTCAGTACTTTCAAGGATTATTAGGTAAGTTCTGAACAGCTTTTGTCTAGGCAGAACTTATTGATATTTTGGGCCAGGTAATTTTTTGCTGTAAGGGGATATCTTGTTTGTAGGATGTTTAGTAGTGTACCTGGCTTCTAACCACTAGATGCCAGTAGCACCACTTAGCATGAACTAGAAATCATTTACTACATTTTAAAAAGGCTGTTTTTAAAAAGAAGAGGAAAATGTGATAGAGATTGCAGTATGTGGCCAGGAAAACCAGAATTTTTATGTAGCAATTTCTAACTCCTCTTACGGGAGACATTCTTTCACCATTTGAAACTAATGGTAGTACAAGAAAAAAAAATCTTGTTTTTCTATTATAGAGTGTCCCTAAGACCACAAGCTTTGAAACTAGGAAAAGCAGTATGAGTCGAGTCTAATTGTGTAATCTTGGGCAGATTTTTAACTTTCTGAGCCTTTTTTTCCTCTCTTGTGAAATAGAGCTAATATATATACACTTATCATTTAGGTATTTTAGAGAATTAAATGAAAGTAAAAGTAGATAGCTCAGTGCATACACCTAGCAGCTGCTACTGTTATTTCACTTCAGGGATGTGCTCTTCATTTATCATTTACTGTCTAATATGGGGCATTGTCATCTATCTTTCAGGTCATGTAAAAGGATTTTGTATGATGTGTACAATGCAAGCGCATATTACCCAGGCACTCAGTCATCCTGGGGATGTTCTTAAACCCATGTCTATCATCAATGAAATGGAGGGTAAGTATCAACCAGAGAAGTATTTTTTAGCAAGGTAGTCTTTTCCTGAGATGAGGTCTAATATTATTGCCCAAGTGATCCTCCTACCTCAGCCTCCTGGATAGCTAGGACTACAGGCATACACTATTGTGCCTGGCTTTTAGCTAGTCTTTTTTTTTGGTACCAGGGATCGAACTCGGGTCCTTGCACTTGCGAGGCAGGCGGCAGAACCACTGAGCTAAATCCCCGGCCCTTAGCTAGTTAGTCTTAATGGCCTAAATGATAAAAAAAAAAAAAGCTCAAAGTTTATTACAAAATAAACCACATGCATTTTATTATACATGGATATGTCTTTAATAAGTAACGTGTTTAGTAAAACATTTACTATATAAACTGATTTTAAAATTTTAAAGAGATGATAATATAATAAAGATCATATTTAGCTTAATATAAGCAAATTTTAAATGATTTAAAACTCAGTTTGTTAATAAAATCATTGATTGAATTTTACAGAAGCTTTTTCTCAACTAGTTGGATTTCTGTGCTGAGTAGTCTCTGATACTGTCTCACAGGTTTTTTTAAATGGTTTATAATTAGTTTTAATTTGGTAAATTAATCCTGCATTATACATAGTGATAGGAATTGTCAAACTAAAAGTATACTCTTGAACAAAAATTTATATTCATTGCCTAACTAAATTTATGAAAAAACTTCACTTTTTTCTATTTCAGTAAGTTGCATGACATTTTCTTATGTACTTTCTATGTGTGTCTCCCTTCTGACTGCCAGCCAAGGCTCTCACCGTATAGCCCAGGCTGGCTTCAGGCTGGCTGCTGGGGCTACAGGCGTGCAACATCACACCAGGCTCGATAGGCTTTTTTTTTTTGGTACCGGAGATCGAACTCGGGACCTTGCGCTTGCAAGGCAGGCGCTGGAACCACTGAGCTAAATTCCCAGCCCTCTGTATGCTTTTTGTATTTACTTCTACATCATTTTAATTAACCAAGTTGTAATAAAAATCCATATGAATAAAAAACTTTTAACCCTTAATCTGGTATCTGGCTTGGTAATTATAGGGATGCATAATTATACAATGATAAAGTATAATTCCTTTGCCTTAAAAGCTGCTAAAGATTAAATTGGCACTTGGCATTACTGACAGACCAGAGCAGACAGTACAGAAATCTTCAAAATTTTAGCCAAGACAGGTTTTATTTTGATTATTTATACTTTTATATATATATATATGTATATGTATGTATATGTATGTATCAGGCATGTATGTATGTATCAGGCATGAGTAATGACCTAGTATTTAGGAAAGTGTCATCACTCTGAATGTATGTACACATACACACATACAGTTAAATCGTGAAATTGCTGACTTTGTAGGTCAAAATTGGTGGATTATTGGCAATTTTATATGATTTAAGCTAGAAAAAAAAAATATATATATATATTCCTACACATATAAAACTCAGTGTATAATAGGTTTTGTGCTATTCATACATTTGTGCTAGTGTTTATAATTTTTAAAAATAATTTGTCTTTGCAACTGCTTAGTCATTTAGGAGGATTGAAATGTTAACTGTGCAGCTGAGGATATAGTTTGTTTTGTGGTCTTTGGTACATAATTGAATCGGTTGAACATTTATGTTCTGCATAGGGTCTCTTATGGATTTGAGTGTCATATTTATTAGTACACTTTTTTTTTTTTTTTGGTACCAGGGATCGAAATCAGGACCTTGCGCTTTTGAGGAAGGTGGAGTAACCACTGAGCTAAATCTCTGGCCCTTGAGTGTCATATTTAAAACGGGTGCACTAACCTAACATTTTGAACAAACTTTTGAGTCAATACAACCAATGTTGACTTTATTCAAGTATAATTGTATTAACTTGGGGAAGACACAAGAGTCATTCTGTGGCTGCTCCCTGGGCTCTTGGGAACTGGGGCTCCTGTGGCCTCTTGGTGAAAGTGCATGGTGCTCATGTTAGTGCTACTTTCTCATTAAGTGTAATTATTTGGGGGTTTTCTAAGTAACATAAGATGTAACTTTGCAGCCTAGGCATTTAATATGTAATAATAAAGCCTTCTCTTAAAATTTATAGATGTAGCTACGCACTTCCATTTTGGAAGCCAAGAAGATGCCCATGAATTTCTTCAGTACATTGTTGACGGTATGCAGAAAGCATGCTTGAATGGCAGCAATAAGTAAGTACAAGTCATTTCTTCAGTTTATATCTCTGGATTATCATGCTTGTTTTGCCTTTTATGTTGAAAATACACAAATCTGTTTGCTTCACCTTTTGGCTTTGCATTACTTCTTCTCTTCCTGATTTCCATTATTTTAAAATGACTAAAATTTTAAAACATATAAACAGTTTGAATTTATTCAATTTTGGATTCAGGAAATTAATATTTGTTGCTATTTTTAAATTTCTGAGTGTCAGCATGCCTCAGCATGATCTAAAAGTACCTGTTTCTCCTTTCTTAATTGTACCAGGCATTTTTCTCTGTTGACCTTTAGCCTTATAAATATATTTCCTCAGGTTGGGGATTTAGCTCTGTGGTGGTGCCGCCTGCCTCACAAGCGCAAGTTCCTGAGTTTGGTCCTCGGTACTAAAAAAAAAAAAAAGACAGAAATATGTTTTCTCTCTCCCTCTCTCTCCCTCTCCTTTCACTCCAGTAGCCAGTAGCTATGATAGATTCTGACTTCCCTCCCTTCTCCAAGTCCCACACAGGGTCACGGGCCTGTTGAGGGTGTCTTCCTTTCGCTGCTTTGCTTCTGGGCTGAATTCCTGCCTTGATTTCAAAGTTCCTTCCATCCTTCCCAAACCCTCACTATGTCCCACCAGGCAAGGCTGACCTTTGGGTACCATGTATACTGATTTTTTATTTTTTGTGGCTTTCCTCTCTGAATTCTTTTTTTTTTTTCCTCTCTGAATTCTTGTTCTTTTACAAATATATATGCTTTTAAAATCTAGTCATAGCATCCATAATTTTGCAGAATTCTTAAGTCACTGTTTTGTCTTTTTCAGATTAGATAGACACACCCAGGCCACCACACTTGTTTGTCAGATATTTGGAGGATACCTAAGATCTAGAGGTAAGTTTCTGTTCACAAGTTGATAAAGTGACATATGCATGTGGTATTAAAATGCAAATAGTAGAAATAAGGGAAAGTAGATCTCCAGGCCCGCACAGAGTCCTCCTCCTCCCCAGAGGCAGCCCCTGTATATCTAGTACATCCTTCCAGTAGTTTCTTATTCATGAGTAAACTGAGAGCCAACTATAGAATATTTTTCTTTTTCCCTTAACATTAGTAGTAATCCTTCTGTTTGAGCCCATACACGTTAACAGATTCTTTCATGGCTGCAGTAGTGTTCCATTTATTTTACTCTCCTATTGATGGATACTTACTTAGCTTTCTGTTCTGTTATTACCATAAGTGCCTCCATGAGGCATCCATGTACTCAGGCATTTATGTCTATATAAAAGTATATATGATAAATTCTTAGTATTAGAATTTGAGTCATAAGATTTATTTTAAATTTTAATACTGACATTTGTCATTCTAAGAGGTGACACTGATTTATATTCCGTCCAGTAGTGTGCGAGGGGCCAAATTCATGACACATTTTCCTACACTGTGTATAAGATTAACTTTTTCCCCAATCTACAGAAAAAAATCATACTGTTTTAATTTTTTTACTTTGAAATAGTATTTGTATTCTGTAATTTCAATAGTTGAGACCTCCATACTGATTACACTTTGTTTGTCTTATGCATTTTATTTTTATTTCAGTCAAATGTTTAAATTGCAAGGGCGTTTCAGATACTTTTGAACCTTTTCTTGATATCACCTTGGAAATAAAGGTAAATTTAATAATTTTTTGTGGTGGTCAAGTTTTAACTTTTCACTTATTAAATCTTAATGAAACCAAGTTTTGATACTCATATTAGCAAATCTTAGATGGTTGTTATTCTTTAGAAACTTTTAGCATCTTGCATTTTCTGAACTGTATTTTCGTTATTCTTGAGTTTTTATTTTTCTGATTACAGATATAATACATGCTTATGATGAAAAGGACAAACATTGCAGATATATGTAAAGTCTGCCCTTCAGGATTAATGCTTTTAGTTGTTTGATATACACTGCACCAGAATAGATTAGGTACTTTTTTTTTTTGGTACCGGGCATTGAACTCGGAACCTTCCGCTTGCGAGGTAAGCGGTAGAACCACTGTAGATTAGATACTTTTTATAAAAATGAAATTATGACCAGAACATCATGGTGCATGTCTATAATCCAAGCACCCTGGGAGGCTGAGGCAGGAGGAGTACAAGTTTGAACCCAAAGTGGACAACTTAGACCCTGTTTAAAATAAAAAAATAAAAATAAGGAAAGGGCTGGGAATGTAGCTTAGTGTGAAGGCCCTGGATTCAATCTCCAGCATTGTGAAAAAGAAATAAAGAGAACATTTTAAAAAGGGGATTATGCCTCAGTCTGTTTATCCACTTGTTTTCATTTCCCTCTGCTTGGAGACCTTCCCACTCAGCGTGTTAGGGCAGTTGGTAGTGGTCCAGTAGGTGGATGTACCACCTTGCTGCTTTCTACTTTTATGGATTCCAAGTAAAGCTGTAGTGAGCTACCTCCTTACATGTTTTTGTTCACTTTAATCTGTTTGTTTTTTAATTGCAGGGGGTAATTTGGTGTGTAGTTACAACTGGGTTATCATCCTAAATGAAAAGTTTTTTTCTTTTTTTGTGGCATTGGGAATTGAGCCCAGGGCCCTCTACCACTTATCCACGTTCCCAGTCCATTTTTTAAAAAAATTTCGAGATTGAATCTAAGTTGCTCAGGCTGGACTGGCTGTCCTCCTGCCTCCGTCTCCCGAATAACTGGGAATACAGGTGTGCACTGCCTGCCACACCATACCCATAAAAACATTTTTTTTTCATGAAAATTCTCATTTATTTTTCTGAATCTTCTGCTTGCCTGCTTACTCTGTCTCTCACAAACCATGACAGTGTGCGGTGATGTGGTGTTTATGCTTTTTCCTCCCAGGCTTCTCCGAGTGTTAACAAGGCATTGGAGCAGTTTGTGAAGCCGGAACAACTAGATGGAGAAAACGCCTACAAGTGCAGCAAGTATGCTGGGTGGTAACTTGTAGTTCCTGATTTGGCCTCGGCTTTAAGAGGTTGCACTTAGCTTCTGCTGCCATGTGGGGAGACACTGGCTGTCTGTCCCAGAGAGGCCAGAACAGGCAGTTGGTGTCTGCACTCTTTCAAGATGGGCAGCCCCGTGCCCTTGGGGAACTACTGCTGCCACCCAGGATGCCACAGTGCTGTGACAACTTGTCTGTTAAGCAGCACCTTCCTTGACTTTCCCATTAGACAGGACTGGAGGTAGGGTGGGGTCACCTTCTCCCCGGAGAGAGTGGAGGATCTTTCTTACAGTGGGCACCCGTGGTGTGGGATAGTGTCCACTCGCAGCCTCTAATTGAGATTATTCAGTAATGCATTTCCCCAGGCAGTTAAGGGAGTCTGTTTTAAGTAGATTTCTGTGTTATAGTCAGGAAATCTAGATATCTAGTCAGATAATCTTTTATTGTCAAACAGTCAATATTTGGGGGAAGGAGAGGCTTTTCTCTCAAGACTAGGGATTTCTCTTGACACTTTTCATCTTTTCTTCCCCCTTTTGTATCTAGGTAGTAGTGCTTTGCTTTCACAGAATTATACCAGCCTAAAAAATCAATTAGCTTTCAGTTTTTTTGAATTGTGAACCTATTATTTTATTTTCCTGCAGTGCTAGGGTTTGAACTCTCAGGGCCTTATGGATGCTAGGCAAGCATTCCAGCTCTGAGCTACACTCCCAAGTTATTCTGTTTTTGATGTCATTGGTGCCCTGTGCGTTCTGATGTTTCAGAATTGTTCTTTCTTTCCTGTTGTGCTACTAGGCAATTTCCCCCCAGCTTTTGTTTGTTTTTTGTTTTTTGAGAAGGATCACTCATTATGTAGTCTGGGCTGGCCTAGAACTCATGGCAGTCCTCCTGCCTCAGCCTCCCAAGTACTGGAATTATAGGTGTGTGCCACCACACGTGGTGGCACAATACTTTTAATTTAAATATTTTCACTGTTGGTTTTTTTGGGGGGGTGATGTTCCTCATCTGTTATCCTTGTTTTGGAATCTTAAAATTAAGGTGTTTCAGAGAAATAACAAGGGGAAGACTAAAACACCAAAACATTCAAACATTAATCTTCTTAATCCTTTATTTCTGTTTACTTCAAGATGTAAAAAGATGGTTCCAGCTTCAAAGAGGTTTACTATACATAGATCATCTAATGTTCTTACACTGTCTCTGAAACGCTTTGCAAATACTACTGGTGGAAAAATTGCTAAGGTATGTAGATGATGTTGTTAATAACCTTTTATGTGGAGCCAAGACTTCAGTGCCTGTAGCTGTTAAGAATTACAAATGACCTAACTGAACAGTTTTGTTGACTGACTTTCTGAGTTTTTCTTGCATTTGATAGCAGGGGAAAAAAGTCAAAGACCTGAGTTTATCATTTGGTCTGTGCTTATGAGGATATATGTTTCTTCTGTACTCTTTGGGGCTGGATTGTCAGTCATGAAAGTTGGGAACTGTTATCTGTGTTTGAGCTTCATAGTCAATTCCTTGATAGCCATGGTAATGAGAGGATACAGGGAGAGCTTGTACAATTGGAAACCCAAAGAGAACTTCCTCACTAGTTCTTGCCTCTTTTTCATCATTTTTTACTTGTTTTCTGATTTTTCACTTACACTGAATTTTCCTATTTTCTTTCTTTCTTTTCCAGTGGTCAAAAATTCAATAGCAAAGCTGGGCATGGTGCTTGGGAGGATAAGGCAGGAGGGTTATGAGTTTGGGGTCAGGCTAGACTACATAGTTTAAAGCCAGCCTGGCCTACATAGAGAGATCCTATTTCAAAAAACAAATAAAATGCAGTGACATATAAGAGAAATAACTAATACCATCATGGCTTGGAAGAATTTAGTTAATGTGGGTCCTAACTTGTTTAAGGAAAATAAAGACAGTGAGAATGCCTTAACTACCCTCAGATCAGGTGTCTTCTAGGTTAATTGTGTCCTTTGAAAAGGGATTAAATGCATTGGGTTTCTGCTGTGACATCATTGTACAGTGTTGTGCAGGTCTCCTGGGACACCCTAAATACCCTGCACCTGAATATCTGGGGCCTTCTGTGCCTTTAGAAATGACATTCCTTTCTCATTTTTCCATTTCTGTTTAGGATGTGAAATATCCTGAGTATCTTGATATTCGGCCATACATGTCTCAACAAAATGGAGAACCCATCATTTATGTTTTATATGCTGTGTTGGTCCACGCTGGATTTAACTGCCATTCAGGCCATTACTTCTGTTACATAAAAGTAAGCTCTATGGATTGTGCTCATTGCTTTTACATGGACACTGTACGACAGTAACACTAGCATTCTTTGGGGGGAAAGGTGGGAGTTTTACAATTAAAGTGTTCATACTTATTTTTCTTATTCTTTTTATTGTGTCCTTGTCAACCCAACAAAATCTGATCTCTCTGTGTGTCTTGCTGTCTTTTGCAGGCTAGCAATGGCCTGTGGTATCAAATGAATGACTCCATCGTTTCTACTAGTGATATTAGATCGGTACTCAGCCAGCAAGCATATGTGCTGTTTTATATCAGGTATTGTCATGAAAACAAATTATCAAATTTTTGTAATGTCTTTTTTTCATCTCATCCACATTCGATTCAGTTTTGAGTTATTTTTTAAAAACCTGAGTTTGAGGTTTACTCAGAAGAGGTCAAACTCAGATGAGTTTGCGTTAGCTTTCAGCTCTTTAGTAATCAGTGCTGACAGATGCAGAGGAAGGGAAAGGTGACAATGAAGGGAGTAGGGTGGCTTATGCTGCTGGCAGCAAATGGAGTGGACCTGGGGTTGTGGAAGTCATGGGTGGAAGGCTCTGGAAGGGCGCTCTGAGCACCCTGCATGGTCCCACCCAGCCCCTCCCAAGTGCTGAGCATGGTGCTGGTTAGGCATTGGCCAGGGCTGAGAGCCGAAGTTGGGGCTCATTTTGCTGCAGCTATAAACTTAGAAATTTCACTTTTGGAAAAAAATCTGATGTGTACTCAGGGTGCGCTCCCCCCCGCCCCGTTTTATTTCCTTGCTGGGAATAGAACCCTTGAGCATGCTTAGCAAACACTCTGTTCCCAAGCCACACCCCATCTCCCAAGGTATCCCATTTTAATTGGGTAGCTTAAAGTTAAGAACACCCTGAGATGTCCAATAATGGCAGAATGATGTGTTGAAATTTTATGCCGTTAAGAGTGATTGTTCTTTTCTTTCTTTTTTGAGACATTGTTTTCCTATGTTGCCCATTGCCTGCTAGTGATTTTTTTCTTGAGCATTTGTATATAATTTGTTTTATTAACCTCCCAGTTTATTTTGGTTCTTTTTTGGTACTGGGGATCAAACTCGGGACCTTGCGCTTGCAAGGCAGGCAGCGGAACCACTGAGCTAAATCCCCAGCCCGACCTCCAGTTTTTAAAAAAAGTTAAATGTAAGGTCATACCTCTCAAGTTTGATGTATTATACACAGATCGTGCAGAATATGAGTATGAAGAGATAAAAATTAGTACATGCCCAAAAAGATGTACTAGAATACAAAATCATCTTCATAAGTATAATAAAATTCTTGTCACGATAAAGGGGACCATCTGGTAGTGATTTTTTTGGTACCGGGGATCGAACTTGGGTTCTTGCGCTTGTGAGGCAGGTGGCAGAACCACTGAACTAAATCCCCGGCCCCCTGGTGGTGAGTGATTTTTATAAATCTTTTTTTTAATGCTTTGGGAAAATGCTGACTGTATAGGAGGGAAAGCAGTTTGAAATATTAAACACTGATGTTGGGTGAAAGTTTGGGGGGGTGATCAAAGGGGAGCCAGCTCTGATGGGGCAATGTGTTTTTGAGTTTTTTTCTATTTTTCTGGGCACCGTAGGTTTTCTCCAATGGTGTATATTACTTAAAAATACAAACAGAAAAGAAAAAAATAGCCTTCCAATGGCAGCATCTTCAGAACACGGAGTTTTAAAATACCATTTCATTTAACCAGGCGCCCTTGTGTCCTGAGCTGAGCACCTGGCATTGACCTTGACCTAAAGGAGCTGATGCATCACATGGCTCTTTGCAGTGTGCCTTAGAAGCAGTACCTTTGCTATCAGTTTCTTTCAGAGGGGCTGATTAATAAATCAGTCTCTGCTGAGAGGCCCTTCATCATCCTCAGCCCTTCTTCTTGGTTCCCAGGTCCCATGATGTGAAAAATGGAGGTGAGCTTACTACTCATTCTGGCCACAGCCCTGGCCAGTCCTCTCCCCGCCCGGTCACCAGTCAGCGGGTTGTCACCAACAAGCAGGCTGCACCACGGTTCACTGGACCACAGCTTCCCTCTCACGTGATGAAGGTAACATTTCAGAGGTGGTATCCGATTTTTACCTTCACTGTAAGGGTGTGTCCTCAGACCTTCAAGCTAACATGGTAGTAGTTGTCCTGTCCTGTTTATACCTGGATTTCTTGTCAGAGAAGTTTATTCAGGCCCTTTCTTCCAAAATACCTAAACATACAGGAATCTCAGCGTAAGTAGCGTGGTCTTGGAGGGACAGCTGTGTGAGTATATCTAACTGTTAGCGCTTGCCGTGGACCTTGTACTCCACTCTGGGGTCAGAGAGTTGAGTTGGGGTTTTTGGTACCAAAGATCGAACAACCTTGCACTTAAGAGGCAGGCGCAGTGCCACTGAGCTAAATCCCCGGCCCGGATAGTTGAGTTTTTAACTCACGTTAGACATCAGGAAAGTGATCCTATTATAAGGATACTTTACATCCATGTAGCTGTCTGAGGAGTATGTTCTGACATATGTGTCCTGTGTATGGCTTCATTTCCAGAAAATGAGGGCCTGTGAAGGGTGTGGGTGGGTAGAGCAGATGAAAGAAAAGGTGGTGTCTGTGATTTGTGTACCTTGTAAGACCCTGACTCTGAGTGCTGACCTGGCTGTGGCTTTCTTCTTGCAGAATTCACCTCACTTGAATGGGACTGGGCCACTGAAAGACACGCCAAGCAGTTCCATGTCGAGTCCTAATGGAAATCCCAGTGTCAGCAGGGCCAGTTCTGTTAACGCTTCTACGTCGGTTCCAAACTGGTCCGTTAACAAGCCCTCTGTGGTTTCAGAACGCCCCAAGAAACGAAAAATCACCAGGATTCATAACAAGTTGCATGTTCGCCAAGCTCAGTCTCAGTCTAACCATCATAACAATTCCTTGGAGGCCCCTAACAAGCCTGTTTCTTCTGCCATCACTAACAGTTCTGCGATACAATCTACCTCGAATGCATCCACAATGTCAATTTCTAGTAAAGTAGCAAAAACACTCTCCCCAAGTGAGTCCTGCTCCGAGCCAGTGATGAATGGCAACTCCAAGGTGAGCTCCAGCATGCTGGTCCCCTACAGTGCCGAGTCCTCCGAAGAGTCTGACGACGAGTTCAAGGGCCTGGCCAAGGAGAACGGCATGGGCAGGATGACTCCTGGTCACTCTGCTGACCACGAAGCTGACGATGATGGGGCCCTGCCACGTGAGCTTCCGGAGCCTGTCACTCTGAATGGTGCTAACAGTTTAGACAGTGACCCAAAAGAAAATGGCCTCCCATTGGAGGGCGCCAGTTGTCAGGTCCAGCCCACTTTACACTCAGAAGAGCCCTCTTCTAAAGCACGCGGCCACCCTGAGAAGGTGAGTTGGGGTAGGCTTTGCTTTGAGTCTCATCTGCGGCTGTTCATTTGGCCACATTTCAGTAAGCATGGTGCTCAAAGCTAGTGTTGAAAATGTCTTTGTTTTTTATTGTAGTTTATATCTGCTACTTTGCCCTCTCTTCTGGAAAACAAAGTCTTCAAACTTGGCAACAAAGGAAAAGGATCAACAGATGAAATCAGGTAAAGTAAGAATAAATCGGAAGTGAACTTCATAGTACAAAATCCAGCAGTAAGTGGATGTGTCTGTCAGTGCTTTAACTCTGTAGAAGTGTTACTGTGGACACTTGGAGCCCCCGGATGATAGGAAGAATGACCTGTAAGGGTACGCTAACTTGCCTCTGAGAGGAGTAAGGAAGCAGTCTGCGGCTGCCTGTCCTGACAGCTGGGGCACACAGACTGCCGGGGTTTGGTTTCCTTTTTGTTTTCGCGTCGCCTGCTCTGGTTAGCAGTGCCCTTGCGCACTTCTGGCTCCAGTTTCATGGGCTTCCTCGTTGAATCTTTTGAGTGATGAGTGGGTATGTGAAGGCATACTGAGTTAGAGAAAAGGGGTTCCCCACACTGTCATGAAGCAAATATTTTGTAAGGGCCTCTCTAGAAATTTGAAATTAAATTTGTAGAGAATATAATTTGTCCCCATATTTTTTTTTTTAATCAATATATTGGCCTAGCTATAATGTCACTCAGGAATAAGAGGAAAGGAATTTGAAGTGCAGCCATAATTGCTTCCTGTGGGAACGGCAGGTAACACTACTGCTGCGGGATGTGGTGCATTAGACAGCAGGCAGGTTCCCCGTGTGATCATTCAGCATGAACAGTGTTGTGCTGTGGTGGTGAACAGCTTTGGTGAAGTCCCAGCCGTATCACAGTACCACCATATCACGACTGTCTTTAGATTCCTGGAAAGTCAAGTGATAAAGTGACTGGGATTTTCACTCCTGTGGGTGTGAGGGTGTGGGGCAGGGGCCTTCCATCAGGGCACTGTGGCAACCCCGATGGCCCCTGGCAAGTGGCCCCCACGGAGAGCCTGAGTCAGGGATGTGGAATTGTTAAAGAAGAATGGAGAGGCAAAGAGCCCTCATTCCTGCTTCACCTCAGAGACAGATGGCTGGGATGCACTGTCTTGCACAGTGACTTTCCCTTGTTTCGTTCCTAATCCACCTTAGTCCTCAAATTTAATGTGCAAGAGAATCAGTACATGTCTGCATAAATGAGGCCATGTGTGTACCCCAGCCAAGCACAGTGTGCTGTCCCAAGAATCTCCTCCATACACTCAAGGCAGCTGACTTCCCCATGGGGACTTGGTATGAGCGATCTCCCTGCTGAAGAGTGCAGATCATGGTAGGTGCTTTATTGTTTCCTAGCAGCTGTCAGATAACCTGGAGAGTGTGTCAGAAGCTTTCCAGCTGCCAAGAGCAGACTGCATTTACTATAGAAGGTTTTCCAAGAACCTCAGTGAGTCCCCTCAGTTTTCTATAATTCGGGGAGCTTTTGGCTCGGAATGGAAATAGCTACTCTACCTGTGAGGCTTCAAGAGAAAGTCAGAAGGCAGCCAAGAAAGTCAGCATGCTATCATCATTTGGCTTTTTTGTTTAGACTGGAAACAGGAAAAGTCTAGAGCCACAAAATTATGGTTACTGAAAAATAGCGTTGATATATATTTTATTTTTATTTAATAAAGAGAAAAGTTGGTGTCCAGAGATGATAGCCTGATGTTGGGTTACAGCCAGATATATTTAAAGTGATAAAATTCTTGGTAAATGTAAGCTAGTCATGCTAACTATTGGCTTGTCTCTGTTTTGGCGGGGATGCAGTCCACCTGGAGCAGAGAAAAGTCCATCAGGGGACCTTGCTGCGGAGCTTGATGCTGGCAGTGCCACTGCTGGTTCCCATGAGAAGCCTGACTCAATCGTGAATCTGTGCAACAAGTTTAAGAAAACTTTACTGTCCTCTGTTGACACCGTAATCTCTGAAAAGAAGTTGTCTCAGCAAACAAATCTCAAATCTCCCAAAAAAGCTGTCTCAGAAAACAGTTCACCCAAACCTGATGAGTCGTTGCCCATCGTAAACAACCTTTGTAACGCCAACAAGACCCCCACGGGGGATGATCAACTTCCTGAACTTTGTGATGTTGGGAATTTAAAACGCAAATGCAGTGAAATCCCCAAAGAGGTCAAAAGGTTGTTTACTGAGAGCCTGCAGGGTTCTGCGCCAGCAGAAACAGTGGCAAAGCTGAGGCTGGCTCCCTCTATACATTTGGAATCTGGATGTGTTCACAAGGTCATAATTTACCTCGGCAAAGACCAGTGTGGTGACGCAAAGGCCCCGTTCCTGACCACAGGTTCATCTGCTGACTTGCTGGCCTCTCTGCGAGTTAGCACCATAGGTCCCCATCCTAAGGGGGCCCATGAGCAAAGTCACAGTCACAGGGAGAGGGTCAGCCAAGGTACGGTAGGAGAGAAAGTTCCAGATCACCCTCCAGTGAAAGAGAAAATCATCAGCCTTAAAAAAGTTGACCGAGGACATTACCGTAACCGTCGAGACCGCTCCTCCAGTGGTGAGCAGGTGCAGAAGAGTAGGAGTCGCAGTCCGAGGAGCAGGACGGAGGACCATTGTCACAAAAAGCAGCACTCCTACAACAGAAGGCACAGGAAGCAGCAGTGCCAAACCCTGGAGCGTTGCAATGGGAGTCAGCACCTGCTGTGCCATGATGAGAGGGGGAGCCCAGCCGAGCGCCGCTCTCTGAGCGGGTACAGCCACCACCACTCACGGAGCAGGAGCAGGAGCAGGGGCAGGGGCAGGAGCAAGGGCAGGGCTGACCAGGACTGGAGCCACTCTCGCCACTCAGACAGTAAGCGTGCTTGGCTCCAGGAGAAGTACTACCCTGAGAAGATCAGGTGGGACAGATGCAGGTACTACAAAAGGTACACCCCCTATGCAGCCCGGGAGCCCAGTACGAAGCGGCCACACAGGGACTCTTCCCGGCCCAGGAAGAACTGGGAGCTGTCTGAATGGGTCAGGGAGCTGAGCACAATCCAAAGGCTGCGCGTAGGTGCCGCAGGCCCCTTCCCTCTGCACCCCGAGGGCTACCCCCAGGAGAAGGCTGCCTCCGGAGCGGGTGCCAGTAGTTGCAGCCTCTCTGACCGATTTCATGAGCATGAAAGCATGAAGTCACACAAACGGAAGATCAGTGAGATCAGTGAGATCAGCAGTCCCATGGACAAGAAAGCCCATAGGAGCCTGTCGAAAGAAGACCTGGAGGAGCCAAAGGCAAAGAAGCGCAAAAAATCGAAGAAGAAAAAGAAATCCAAAGACAAACACCAAGAGCGTGACTACAGGTGAGGGTGGGAGTATTCCTCATCTCCATGGGTTTTGAGACTTCACAGTGTCTGCACATTTCCAAAACGGGGCAGCTTCAAGGTGTGTCTCACTTCCTGTATCCTAAAATGTCTCATTTTGCCCTCCTCAGTTAATGTTTATCACTCACCCCAGAGTACGTGTGAGTGCTGTGAAAGTGACTTGGGGAGTCTCTGACTTCCAGATTGGATTTATCAGATGCAGTTAATTTTCACATCTGTGATGTATTCTTCAAACTTAGTCACTACACAGTAGACAGATGGGAGCCACAGTCCTGCTGATACCTGCCTGCCCGCCTGCCTAGAGGGAGGCCTGAGGAGCACCCTTTATTTTCTTGGCCTTTGTCTCTGAGCCTCAATATGAAACCTAATGTCTTCATATTTTCCTAAAAAAATATAGAACGCTTCACAAATTTGCGTGTCACCCTTGCGCAGCGGCCATGCTAATCTCTGTATCATTCCAGTTTTAGTGCATGTGCTGCCAAAGTGAGCACGTCTTCATATTTTTAAAATGCTAAATAGGAGCCAGGGATTCAGCTCAATGGTGCTGGCGCCTGCCTCGCAAGCACAAGGTCCCGAGTTCGATCCCCGGTACCAAAAAAAAATGCTAAATAGGTTGTGGATTTTTTTGTTTTGTTTTGTTTTTGGTGGTGCTGTTGGGGATGAAACCCAGAGCCTTGTGCCCACGAGGCAAGTGAACCACACACCCAGCATATTTCAGTTCCCTTCTTTTAAAATTAATCCTAGCAAAAGATTGCCAAAAGCCATATGTACATAGGCAGCGGTTACTCTGGGGAAACGAAAGCACAAGCTGCTTCCTCCTTTGTGCCTGGGACACATGGCAGAATGTCCGGCCCTCTCTCCTCCCCTCCCCCTCTCCCCCTCTCCCCTCCCCTCTCCCCTTCTCTTCCTCTCGTCTTTCTGCCATGGATTTCAGGAGAGGTCAGTTAAGTCCTCCCAGCCGTTTTTCTGGCTGGCAGCCCCAGCTCCTGAGCACAAAGGCTATGTTGGGGAATCCAGAGGTGGAATTCAAATGGTGAGTTTATGACCGTGGGGTTTAAAAATTACTAGAGCTGAAAATAGAGACTCCATTTGTAACATGAGAGGTGCTTACCTGTGTCTGTCCAAGGAGTGTTTTCAGTGAGTGGTCTGAGGTGGTGGTGGGGTTTGGGATTGCTAATTTCTGGCTGTTGCTTCTGTAGGCTGGATCCAGTGTACTTCAATGCTGACCTCCGAAGATACAAAAAGAAAAAGAAAAAGAAAAAGAGGAACTCAGGGAGCTCAGAGGACTTTGAAGAAACATCAGAACTGCACTCACCGAAAGCCATAAACTATGAGACTGTCTACCATTTCCAGCAACCTGAGGGCAGCTTGCTGTAATACTGGGCTCCCGCCTCATCTGTGCCGACTCACAAGCCCTTGTGTGATTGGTTTCCATGTGTAGTTCGGATACCTGGCACTGATCTGTTAGCATTGAAGGGTGGTTACGTGGAACTGGGATTTAATGGCACTCTGGGGGTCTGAGCATTTGCCTCGAAAGAGAACTTTGTTTTTCAAGCATTTTGGGTACCAATGCTTTTGCACTGTTTGCTTTATTCTCTTGAATCCTTAAAGCATCCAGGGTGTATCCTAACTCATAATTTGATCACAGGGATCATTAGTAATGTGAGTTGCCACCTCTTGAGGCTCCTGAGATCGCTCACTCCAGGCTACCAGGCATCTTGGATTCTTGGGTGTAGACTGGACCAGCTCTGCTCTGACTGCACTCGGGGCAGCCCCTTCTCCTAACTGGCTTTTCTGAGAAGAGTCCTGAGCTTGTTAAGAAGGGAAGTGACAGGACTAGGGGCCTAGGGGACAGGTTGGCAGGCTGCATCCCAAAGGCTGGCCCTGTGCCTGTCCCCACGTCACCTGTGGGTTAAGAATGGCTTTCATGTTTTCAAAAATTCCAGGGCCGGGGATTTAGCTCAGTGGTTCTGCCACCTTCCTCACAAGCGCAAAGTCTTGAGTTTGATCCCCGGTACCAAAAAAAAACTTTCAAAGAGGAGTAGTATTTTGTTTCACCTGAACAGTGTGTGATGGACTGTTTCCTCCTTTGTCTCTCACTCAAGAAGGCAGCAAAGCTCCCACCATCAGTCAGCAGAGTCATTGTTCGATAAGCATGAGATGAGAAGCCCATGTCACCAACCCAGAGTTAGCAGAGCCCATCCTAAGAGCTCAGCACCTAGACCTAGAGGTCATGCTGAGGCCGGGGTCACAGCCCTCACCTGAGGAGGCCACTCTGTTGCGATGAGGTCCAGGTGACTTAGAGCAGAACCTTCACTGTGTCGAGGCTATCTGAGTAACTTGTATTCTGTGGTCCTGGGAGGCAGGGACTCGTATTTCATACTGTGCATTTGTGGAGCGAAAGGGGATGGCAACCATTTAGCCCCTGAAAGGCAACTGCCCGTACGTGTGTCTTACCCAATCAGGAAGGGCAATTTTTTTTTTTTTTGGTACCGGGGATTGAACTCAGGACCTTGCACTTGCAAGGCAGGCACTGGAACCACTGAGCTAAATCCCTGGCCCTAGGAAGGGCAATTTTAAATGAATTTCAAGGCGAATTGTCTATAGAAGATTAGCATGCAGTTGATTAACATGCTTTTTCTGTGTGTCCTCAAGGGAAAGCACCAAGCCTAAGGAACTCTGAACTCTTCCCGAGTGAAAGCAGGATCTAGGTAGGATTGAGAAAGATTAGCCACAGTGGGGTTCAGGCTGGGCGGGTGCAGCTGGGCCCAGCAGATGGCCCCTCCCTGGCCAGGCCGCCAACTGGTTCCTCTGCCGCTGCCTGGCGGCACTAGGTTCCTCTACTGCCGTTCAGGAAGACAGAGTGATCGTTTCAAGAAAAAAGAGCTTCCCAAAGGCCAAGGGGACTTGCGGACAGGGTGTCACAGAAGGGAGGACCTGGCTTCCTGGAGCGTCTGCCTTCGACTAATGCCTGCGCCTCTTGTCTTTCAGAGTCAACATCTTCCACAGAAGCCATCCCAGCTCAGCTTAAATTATAAACATAAATTTGTTCAAATCTGCGTGGTGCTTCTTTACTAAATACTGAACAGATTTTACCATGAATTTTTTTTTAACCTTTTCTTAATTGCCCTTATTCCAAAAGGATGAACACTTTCTACAACTGCTGACCATTGTAAAATACCGTGTATATAAATCACATTGAAAATAATGCCCTGGAATAGAACATCTCAAATGCTGCTTAATTACAGACTCAGGTTGATTACTTGTTATCTCATGTAATGTTCCTCCAAGTTAGACGTCTGGTGCAAGGCCAACCGGGAAACCATGGAATTATTAAAAGTACAAACTGACAGTGCGTGTATTTAATTTAAAGGCTTATTTAAAAATGTACAAGCTCTCAACTAGACTTCTGAGGGCAGTCTGTTTTCTGTATTGTCTGATACTAGAAACTAATTTGCTTCATATTTTAGTTGTATTCAAGATTTGAAAATGTATTTTATAGACAAGTTCTGTTTTTGAACTTTGTGGAACTATTCCAATCAACCTACCAGTTATGATGAGTATTCACATTATGAATGTATAATCCAAACATTATTTGTAAAGCTTACAGTATGTTTTTATTATATAACTTTTTTATACTGTGTCTCGTCAACTGTATGATTATTGGAGTCTGAGTTGTCAGCTTGGTCCCTTAAAGTTTCTAGTTACAGACAAAATCATACTGTGATTTTATTTTTAATATGGATATGCTATCAAACTGTGATACTTATAATTCACTGGTCCTGCATCAGGAGATGGAGTGGGGAAAACTGTATTTCTATCTGAATAATCTGTATGGTTTATACAGTTTGTGTTGTTCAGAGATGTCTAAAGTTTGATCTTTGTTTTTTTAAAGATTAAAAAAGCACTTGCCCCACTGTAAATATACAGCATGTAAAATTTATATAGACTATAAATGGCAGCAAATTAAACATTTTGTGTCATTTTTTTACTTCTGTTTTCCCCATTTGCTTCCCGCCATGTCTTCTCTGTCTTTATGTTCACTTTTCTTAAAACCCAGTAAAGCTCTGGCTACCATCTCAGCAGGTGCCTCAAACCCTGGAGATGGGCCAGGGAAAACCAGGTGCTGGTTTGCTGGAACCAACACATCTCTATTTAAAGAAGCAAGTCTTAGACAACCTTGTTTTAACAATGTATGTGATTTTTATTTAGTGAAGACAATATTCACAAGTTTTAACAGCCATACACCCTTCAGTTTTACTGTTTACTTTTGATAAATAGAATATTCATGCAAGTTACAGGATGTATATACATTGAATAACAAAACACTCCAGAAAGCAATATATGTACACTATTTACATATGAACTATAGGTAAATAGAAATGTTTTCTAAGGAAAAAATAAGATGAGAAATCACAATTTGGGGTTTCTGGTCTGTAATAGACCTAACTTTGCAGCAAAGCACATCTGTAGATAATATGCCCTTGTAAGTTTGAAAACAGGCATTGCTTTATATGAAGCATTAAATGCTGCTTCATCTATTAACAGCTCTTGCTTTGATTCCATTTGGTGCCACATTAAACTACTTGAAAGTGTTTCAGGACCCTCTAGGTAACGGTGGCTTGTGAGGGTCCAGGCTCAGTCCAAATAAGTCTCAAATGATAACTGGGCCCAGAAAGACAGCTGGAGGGGCCATGGTGCTGCCTTCTCCCGCCCAGCGCTCCTCCTCAGAACTGCCCACTGCCCTTGGTCTCTGGAGGAAACTTTGTCTTTGGCCACAGTTGGGACCGGTAACTCAGGACTGAGTGCAGGCCCTTGGGTGGGGAGGCAATGAGCATGACAGCCTCACCGCCCTGGAGTGGGAAGGTCCCACTTCCAGGCAGCCTGGTGGAGGCCAGGTACACATGATGGCAGACGCCTTAGCGTTAATACTGTCACAAGAAAACCTGGGATTAGGTGACTTCATGCAATACTTTCGATAGGGCAAGGTACTTAAGATTCTGAGCACCAGGGCCTTCTCCATGATCCTGGGTGAACAGGCATTGGGCAGAGCTGGCTCACAGGCGGCTGTGGCGATGAGCGAGTCACCAGAAGGTGACCCCATGCTCGCCTCAACACCCTAAACAGTGCCATATCCCCAGGGCCGAGCCTGGGTTAGACACTCGGGAGAGAGGAAGCAGCTTGCCCCGTATGAAATGCTGACCCAACACTGCCGAAGTCCCTGGCAGGCTGGCCCAAGGGTGGCCCGCAGCGTGGAGGCATCATGGTTGGGCCAGGTGAGGGCAGCACTCGTGCTCCGCAGGGGTGTGGGGGTGCAGGGCAAGCTGCATACACACCAGGCACGTCAGGGGCTGACTTGCCTTGCTCAAACACTAAAGTTTCAGATCTGAGGTATCAGTAAGGTAACAGCATAGAAGCTTGGCAATAAATCAAAATGTCAGTGTAATGCATGACGGGGAGTTTCAGCCTCGGACCCTCTGCACTGAGGTCAGCCACATAGAGGCAAAGGGCCCATGGCTGCACAGTCTCCGCCTCAAGGCAGCTCATGGGAAGACTTATTTCTGCTATTTAGAACAAAACAACTGCATTCAGTCAGGTTTTCATTCCTGGACAAGGGACCTAGAATACAAGGGCCTTTGTATTCCAAGGACCTGCCCAGAGGACAGCCATGTAAGGAGCTGAAGAGGGCCCAGGTTTAACAAACAAAGCTCCCCAGGAGGGGGACTGTCACACAGTCCTTGTCCAGCTCTGACAGTCTCAATGGTGGGCCATCAATCCCTCTGCTGTATGTCAACTATTCAGAGAAAACCCTAAGTGCCACACACCTTGAACTATGGCATGCTCTCACCCTCCTCAAAGGGTAGCTCAGGCCTGAGAACACAGCACTGTAAGAGGAAGACAATGGAGTATTATGTCTACCCACTCGTTAAGAAATCTGATTATGTCACTGAGATAAGCACATTGCTGAAGATTCTAAGTAGCAATGGATGTATTCCGTGGAAGCAGGTAGAACTCTGTTTGTGTGGGCCAGAAATGGTCAGAGCAATTTCTTGTGGTCCAACCTGTGGATGATCTGCCCAGGGAAAGAGGCCCATTTCCTAGGGTTCAGCAGTTATAGGACAAACAGCCCCAAACCATAACCATATCTTAATGATTGGTTTTAGAAAATATTTATAGGGCCAAAAAGTCTGAGAGGGGGTTTCAGGGTTTACACCTGGAGCCCCCAAGTGTACCGGTCCTCAAGGGCATTAGGCCTCCCCTATGGCACCCCCTGTAGCTCCCACCCAAGTGCAAGTGCCCCACAGCCCTCCCTTTGGGTGCTGCATATATATTTTTTTCGGTGCACAGTATATACTTGTGTCCAGGAGTTATATTTATAGCTGCCATTCTAAAAATACTACTGTTAGAAAGTATCTTTCATTATAATTTCAGGATATAAAAAGGCATATAAAAGTTATAATCCTATATATCTGAGAAAAATTCTCAATTTAAAAAAATGGTAGTTTTCCATTCCAATTTTGATATAAAACAGCAGCATCTAGAACGGTCAACTGTCACTGCCTGAGTGGGCAGGCGAGTGGGAGACCAGCGGATGCCCACAGGGAATCTCCCTCCACTGCTTCTGAAGGCAGGGGGCAACAGGAGGAAACACAGCTGACCATGATCCAGGCCACACAGCACAGGAGTCAGGGTGTGCAGCTGGGGCCACAGCTGGTTCTGGGGACCAGTGCCGCCTGAGGAGGTGCCTCCCCTGTGTCGTGTTGGGGTGGCCAGCGGTCACATCTGCTGCGGGGTTTGGGTCCTTAGTTTACCTGCTGGCACAGGACAGCTCTATTTCTTATTGGCAATCCTCCTTTTCCTCGTTGCCAACATGTCATAGAAAGGATCCCTACTGATGCTTGCTCTGGGGAAGAAAAGCAGCAGGTCAGGGCAAGGATAGCACTGGGCCTGCTGAGCCCACCCCTCGAACAAAACAGTGGCTTCACACCGTGGGGTCGGCTCAGCAGCACTCCCCCCAAGTTTCTGGGTCTCGGGCACATGCTGCAAGCTTCCTCCCCAGCCTCACTCACTTGATGGATTTCATCCACTCCTCCTTCTCCTCAGGGCTCGGGGCGGAGATGCGATACACCACGTGATTCCCCTCCACCACCCGGCCATCAGCCTCTGTCTTGCAGGCTTTGATGACCTGCCCTTTGTGGCTGGGATTGTAAAGCTCAAAGCAATTCTAGGCAGAGACAGGGAAGGTCAGCTCAGCACAAGTAGTCAAAAAAGGCACATTTGTGAAAGGAAGCCACTTACAGGTTTCCGTGGGTCTTCCACCTCTCTGATGCTGAGGTTTTCCAGTGGGATGATACCTCTAGGCTCCTTGTCCTACAAGGAAAAGGCACACAGTCAGTCTCAGCCGGCCACTTCCCGAGGGACCCTGCCCGCAGGCTCCCAGCCCCACTTACTGTGGTGTACTCAAAGTAGTAGAGGCAGTTGTCAGTCAGGATGAACCAGCGCCGCTTCCAGGTCTTCACACGCCCTCCTAGGAGGAGAAGGGCCCTGTGAGTCAGGCACTCAGGGCCACATGACTCCCTTCTCAAGAGAGGCCATCAGGAACCAATCTCAGGCTTATGTTTCCTTCTTTGTGAAAATGTCGGATATTCTGACCACAGTTAACAAGGTCCTGCAACAAGCTGCATGGCCAGCTGTCCAGGTGGGTAGCTGGGTGCACAGCTGGGGCCCACATGCACCCCCACCCTGACCCACACAGGTGTCCTCTCCTTGGCCACCCAGGGTCAACCTAGACAGCACCTCACTTTCATGTCTGCTTCCTAGAAAAGTTAGTCATAATGGATGGGTGTAATTTCCCCCCGTGAAATGACAACAAGATGAAGTCAGTGCCGGCTCAACTGGGTCTGTCCAGGGTTTAATCCTGTTACATCAGGGCATTATCTCATTACTGGGTACTTTGGGCAGCCCTGGGATCCATCAGAGTCAATTACCCCTTGGCCCAGGGAATTATTGGATTGAATTAATCTTTTAACAAGAGCTGAAGTGTACACACACACACACACACACACACACACACACACACACACAGCTCATCTGTGCCTATGTCCCTTTTAGTACAGAAAAGCAATCTTTCTGAATTCTGCAGAGCCAGTCAAACTGACTTCAACTACCAGCTTTTGCTAATAAGAGAAAGGAAGACATTCATGGCAAGAAATTCAAGTGCTACCTGGGGAACAAGCAAGAGGTGGCCCTCCCTGTCCCATCACCCCCCCCACCCCCACCCGGAGTATTCCCTACAACATGGAAGCAGCTGAGGAGCCGTTACAATGAGGCTGGGGAGACAGGAAGATGGAAGGAAGGCTGCGCAGGTCACAAGGAGGAACCAGTTTGGGGAGGAGGAAGCCAGACCCTGATAGATGCAGAGGCACTGGAGAGGGGGAAGGATGTCCCCAAAGCCCAGCCAGGACCCTGCACCCCAGCCTCACTCATCAGACCCTTCATCCACCCACCTTTCTGTGAAGGCTGAACGCAGCCCATGAGGTCAGTTACCACCACAGCACTAGAGAGGCAGCCCTGGCAACCAGCTGTCCCTGCACCAGTCCCTCCACGTCCCAGACAGATCTGCCTCATGCCACCAGCCCCACCTGTCAGAATGTCTGACGTCATGCTGTTCCCCAAGATTCCCAACAAGTCTCCATGGCCCCCCTCAGACCCACCCCACCTCAGTACCATCCCTTCCTCCCATGTCCCTCCTGACACTTGACCTGGATGCCTGCTCCCAAAATCCTTGCACAAAGTCCCTCACTGCTGGAATCCTTGACCTGTCTCATCCAGCCTACAGGAGCCCATTCCATACAAGGGTCTAACAGGGGGTCCGTTCCTTACAGGCAACCTGTTTTGTCCAAGTCCTCCAATGACAGAGAGAGCCATTTTGTGTGCTAAGATCACAAGAGGGCAAGGCTGGTTCTCTAGGCACTTCCCTCCCCACCTTCAAAACAGAATCAGCTGACAGTCCTTCTACCATCCCTCAAGAGTAGGCCCAGCTCAGCTGTCTTCTGAAAAGAACCTCTGATCACGCTCATCCTGCTTGAGGCTCCCAAAGGTTCCATGTGCTCACCGTGAAGGTCCTAACACCTCAGCTACTGAGAGCTCCTGCCACAGTTGCTGGTCCTCCCTGCAGCCTGAGTTGCTCTAAGCCTCCACCTTCAGCCAGAAGCAGGTCCTCAGAGCCACCCGAGGAACTACCCGGAGTTCCCTGCTCAGGGCATACTCCCCTCCAGGGTACGGTGGGCCTGTCAGGATGGTCCTGGGCCCACACCCACTGCTCCCCGCTCCAAGGCACCAAGGCTGAGGTGTGTCATCTGAGGCAGGGCCAGCAGGGCAGGGTGATGGTCTCAGAGCCACAGTGGGTTCTGCTGTGAGGAGCTGGGAGGCTCTGCTCAAAACACACCACACTTGGAAACAAGAGCCTGGCTTCTCTAAACAGGGTAAGCATCACTCTGTACATTACCATTTTCACTGCTGTCACACACATACCTTTTCCACCATGACAGCTCAGCTCTGACCACATCCAAAGTTTTTGACAGAGCTGACTCTCAAATCCAATGTCAAATTTCTCAACAGTAAGCCAGGCCTGTGCACAGTGCACCACACCTACACCCCACAACACATTCCAGCATTAAAGGTCCCTGCTCTACAATCACAAGGAAACATGCTTGAGTCTCCACCCGTCCTGCACACCTTCAGTTGGTGCCTGGGTCCTGACTGTGTCACACCCTGAGCTGGGAGGAACCGTGTTTGCCCACTCAGTTCAATGTCACACTGGGGGGCTGACTTGAGTCCACCCTCTTGGCCCTGTGAGAATTGACAACACCTCTGCATGCTCACCAAGTGACCAGGACGGAGCTCCAAACAGCTGCCTCTGATGTCTCGGGGCACCAGGAACTCTGGAGAGAGGCCACTGCCAGTTAATCCCCCCACTAGCCTGCTAGGGACCTGTGCCATGACAGTGCCAGTTCATAGGCCTTCCCTGGATAGGGAAACTACAGGGGCAAGAGACTACAGATGCCAACACCCCAGGATGGTACTTTCCCAGGCTGCACTGGACCAAATGCACAGCTCCTTCAAGTGCTCTGCATGCTCACTTTGGTGGCCTGCTTATCTGCCCAACCAGGAAACATGTCAGAAAACACAGGTTGTCTTGTGCCTTCATTTCATTCACTTATATCTCCAGGGCTGGCTATCTGAGCTGCCATGAGGGCTGGCAATGTCATGTCCCTCGAGGGGACACTCTTGGGCAGCACAGGGACTGGAAGGGAGTTGTCTGATCCGGTGAAGGCCCTCATTCCGGCCTACCACAAGGGCTGGCGTCTTTGGATGCAGCCATTCTCCTGGCCCTACTCCAGCACCACGAGCATGATGCAAGGTGAGAGGTCTGGTGTATATCTCAGGCCACTCGGGCATCCAAGTCCAAAGCTACAACCCTAGGCATTTAAGACAAGATTCAGAACTCTTCTGACCCTCAGCATAGCCAGAGAAGAGTCAAAAGCAATTCCCAAGGTCAAAGACCTCGTGGGATCGGTGGATCCACAGGGTGCACCCCCACCCCATTAGCTAAGGCAGCCCATGCCTGTAATGTCATCAAGCCACACCTGACATCTTCCCGTGATAAAAAATTGCTTCCAAAATCTCCAGAACTCTAGCCCTCAGATCCTACATGTTACACAGCAATACTCTGTTCTCAGAAGTACCTGGAAAATATAGCTGTCAGATCCCATGGGCTTTGCTGTCAAAGGAAGGCAAAATCCATCCCCCCAGAGTCAAACCCTAAAATCTCCTAAATTTGCACATAAAGTACAAAATCCATTATATCTCTTTGTCACTGGTAAGGAAGCCTTTGAGATGTCCCTAGAATCCTTCTTGTGGGAGGGGTGCAAACATGCACTGTTTGGCTAGTATGGGGCGCTGGCGACTCTGCAGGGACAGGCTGGTAGAACCCTAAACATGGGGGGCTCTAGTTTGTTCCCACAGTGTCCCCATCCACTCCTGGTCCTGGCCTCTCTTGGCCCTGTCACTGGGGTTGGGTGTCACACACACCACACCGTGTACAGCACTGATCCCCGCCAAGTCCAAAGCCAAATGAATCAAATGAATGGCAGCCACAGATCAGAGCTTCACACAGACCAATATGGGGGAGAAAAAGCGAGAGAGGAATGAGCCACCGGGGAGGGGAGGAAGCCACTGGGTACCTACCTCCTAACGCAGGACAAGCAGGGGCAGCCCGTCACAGAACAGAAAGGTGGGAGCCACAGGCAGAAGGAAAACAACAAGAAGGCACATTTAAACCACTCATCAAAAATCACAGCCACGCCAAACCAAGAGAAAGGCACACAGGTTCTTTGGAGGTAAATGCACTTGCTTCTTGTAAAGAAAACTGCCCTGGATTTAGGGGGACACTAGCTCAGCAGTTTTCTGGGGCAGGTTGTTCAGTCACTGCCGTGGACACTGAGCATGTGGCCTTGCTTCGAAAGGTCACTGTTCAGGGAAGCAGCCACTGGTGCTGAGATACGGTGCTGCTGAGAGTGGACTCTAGTCCAACGGCACTCCCTTTTTAACATTTCTGCCTTGCAGTTAGGGGCCTCCGCTACAAGGTGGTAAAGAGACCAGGGAGCTGCCAGGTGGGTGGGGGGCTGTGGACGGGGCACACACAGCAGGCTCACCCAGCTTCAGGAGCCAGCCTTCCCGGTCCGGGTTAAAGAACGTGTGTGTCAGGTCGTTCCCATCATCCTCTGGGATTTTAAATGGTTCATTCTTAATACTTTCATATAAGTTCTGTAAGGGGAAAAACAGCAGCAAATTCAGAAATTCACAGAGGAGAAGCCAGCATTCTCTTGTCTCTTTCTAGTGCAGGAGAAGTATAAAGAGCAGCAGGCCTGGTAAGCAAGAGATACTTGAGAGATGCATTTACAGTACATAAACCAGCTGGGGATGGTGGCACATGCCTGTAATCCCAGCACCTCTGGGAGGCTGAGGTAGAAGGATGGCAAGTTTGAGTCCTGCCAAGGAAACTCAGTGAGACCCTGTCTCAAGACTGAAACAACAACAAAAAATAATAACAATAACAACAACAACAGTAATAATAAAAGCTGGGTACAGAGTTCAGTGGGAGAGCGCGCCTGGGTTGATTCCCAATACTGCAAAGAAAAAAAGTAAATAAGTCATCACTGCCCATCTGCAGAGAACTTGGTGTAAGTTTTAAAATGAAAAAAGGAGGAGGAGGAAGAGGAGGAGGAGCAATGGCACCACGATGAGGCTCAGTCCGACTTACCCTCAGCAGCTCCTCAGGGAGGTCTCCCCCCTCGTTGATGCCACGGTTCATGGCGATGAACCGCTCCACAGTGGGCTTGTCACGTACGTTGTGGTTGTGCAGGCTGGTGTTGAGCATGATGATGGCAAACGACAACACATAACATGTGTCTGCAACAAGGCAGAGGACAGTGAGGAACTCAGAAGCCTAAGCTCTGCTGGGTTTGGACATGCAGGGTGGGGTCCACAGGGAAAAGCAGAGTAGAAATCTCTGCACAGTGAACCTCAGAAAAGACTGTGCTGGAACAGGGAAAGGAGGTCCCAGGAACAGGCTGGCTGTGCCACAGGCCTTTGTCCAGCAGCAGAGGCGAGGGTCAGGCCATGAGCTGGGTCACTGACCTGTAGACTGGAAGACACCTGGGTTGCACAGGCAGTAGCGTGAAGCAAAGGCCTCCATCATGCGATCTATCTTCTGAGCCTCTCCAGGCAATCTGAAGCTCCAGAGAAACTGCCTATGAAGACACAGAACCCTCACAGAGTGACCGCGCCACAGCAAGGAGGCGACCCCCTCAGCCTAGGTGCCACCCTGGTGGGAGAATGTAAGGAGACTTGGTTTCCTTCCACTCAATAATTCAAGACAGATTTACCAGCTGCTCCTCTTTCGTGTGATTACAATGAACTCTTCAGCAAGGCCAGCTGCCCCTGTCATATACTCGTCCAAGGTCTCAATACTTCTTGTCCCCACTGGCATAGTCTCCTGGACCCCACCAGGTGACTTCTAGGACCCTACGACATCCCATGGCTGCCACAGTCCTGACAGCACAAGGGCCACATGGCCCTCTTAGGACTGCATCCCGGTGGCAAGGCCAGAGTCAGCAGGATCCATCCAGGGCTCAGCCTCACCTCAGGCCACAGCCTGTGGCTGCTGCTCCCTCCCTGGGGCAGGCACACTCCTGCTTCTGGGACCAGGCCCAGGTGAGCAGATACTGCTGTCCTCAGATGGTCCGATTCCCTGCAGTCTCCTGCTGACCACCCTCCCTAAAATTGCAACCCCTGCCCCTAAACTCCCACCCTTTCTTTGCATCCACCACTGCCTGCTACCTGTCTACCTTAAAGGTCGAGGGCAGGGGCCACAGCTGTCCTGCTTCCTGCAGTCCCTGTGGCCAGCCAAACCTCACACACCAGCTTCTCAGTGATGTTCTAAACTGTAGTGGCTCCAGCACCCAGTGAGTGCTGAATGAGCACACCCAGTGACTGTCCTTAGTTTGTAAGACACTGACACTACTCTTCCTCCTTTGCAGGTTCCCAAATGTGGGTGCTCCCCACTGACCACTGCTGTCCCCTTTACCCTATGTTCTCCTGGGATTCCACCACACTTGGGCCCCTCTCCCTCCCAGCACCTGCTCCAAACCTTCACACTTGACCTACAGACCCATCCCCAGGTCTCCGGCTGGCCACCTGGTCTAGGTCAGGACACCCGATACTCTCCCCTCTGCCTCGTGTTGGCCAGCAAAACATCCTACTGTGTGCTGACCCCACCCACCATCGGTCTCCCTCAGACAGCTTCTCAGACCACAGGACCGCCAGCACTGCCCCAACCCAGGACCCTCTCTGGTGCCTTTGCACTTCCATTAGGGGACTCTGCTCAGCCCTGACCCACCAGACTTCCCTCCCAGCAGCTCGAGGACCCCTTACCATACAGCCTCACTTTTTTGTCTCCATAGCAATCAGCTCCTGACAATTCATAGAAATATCCATTATCCCTTCTCTCTCTCTGCCCAGTAAGGTCTGTGGGGCCATCCTAGGTACCAGCACTGTCACCTGAGCTTCTCCCACATGTGCCTCAGGACAGACCAAGGGCAGAGAGATGAGAGCCCCACAGGCCAAAAAGAGTCAAGGACCCACTAGAGCAAAGCCAAGGTGAGTTCTTTGTTCTTCCCTGCTGTAGGAGGGCCCTGGCAAAATTTTGACCTCTGTGGGATTTATCAGGAACCTCTGGCTCTGGGCCAGAGACCAACTGCCCACAGACAGGGAACCACAGTGGCCAAGGCCATGCCACGGACATGCTTGCCACTCACCAGGCCCGTGCCTTTCTCTGGATATAGTTTTCAAGCACTGATCTGAAAATGTAAATCAGGGCTCCAGGACTCCTACCTGTGGCTCACAAACTGTTCTGCCCCAGGCAGCGCTGCTGAGCATATCAAGAGGCTATGGCAGAGGAGGTTTGAGAACATGAACCAGACGTGACAGGGCCACAATATTCTCGGAGGCTTTTCCCTCTGATTGTCAGTGACTCAGGGTCAGAACTAGAACACATATAATGGCATGCAGCCCAGCCAGGACACCATAGAAGACAAGATGATGCCCTCCAAGAGCCCAGGACAAGGGCCTCAAGTAGGCATCTAGGAAGTGAGCACACTGTGGACACCATCTCCTGTCAATGCCACATGATGCACAGTGACACATAGCTTTCTGCAGCCAAGACTGAGGCCTCCCTTTGCTGGCAGAAGGTCTACACCCTCCCTGGCACACTTGGGAGCAGCCATGCTCAAGGACAAATCTGGTGGGAAGTGGGCCTGAGCATTGTTGAGGCCACAGTGAGCAGGGTGTGTGGCAGACATGGGAAGAAAGCACCCACCCAACCACTGGATGTCACCCAAAATGAAGGACAGCAAATAAACTATGAGCAGGATGAAGAACTGGAGATCACAATAAGGAAAACATGACATCTGTCCCTCCGTGAATGTTCCCACTGCTGTCTAGGGCTGCTGCCCGGCATGCAGCAGTCACACAGAAGAGGGAGTACAGGAACGCAGTCAGGGTCTGCAGAACCTGCAAGCTCCCCGAGTTACTTGGAGTGTTAACCACTACTATTCTACTACTGTCAAGGCCTCCAAACACTCACCTTAAGGCTTGTACGAGGTTGAGATCAGCAAACTCATGGAGTTCGACAAAAGCTTGAAGAACTTTGATATTAAATTCATCCCTTGGAAAGAGTGGAAACAAGTTTTCAAGGCTAATGAATGCAGAGTATCTCAAGCACTTTGAAAGAAAGACGTATCCTAGCCTGGCATAGTAGTGCATGCCTATAATCCCAGCACTCTGGGCCACTGAGGCAGGAGGATCACAAGTTTGAGCCCAGCCTGGGTACCTTAATGACTTAGTGAGTACCTGTCTAAAAATAAACACTTAAAGAAAAGAAAAGAAAAAAGGCTGGGGATGTAGCTCAGTGAAAAGGCCTTGGGTTCAATCCTGATTGTGGCAAAAATAAACAAAAATCACCATGTCCTATAGCACATTTTTGCAGTTTTAGTTTTGTATGACTACAAATTAAGATTTTCTTCACTTTAAGTTTGTTTTCAGGCTTAATGCAAAAGAGAATAAATAGGATATTAGGGGTATACCTCACATTAAGGTCAGGAAGGAGACCATTAAAAAACCACCACTCTGAGCACCAGAGGACCAAGCTGGGAGGCCTGCCCAATGCTCAGTCTGTGTCCTGTGGCCTTCAAAATGACCCCAAACCCATTTCAAGTGCACAAACTACAAGGTTTATGCTGGCTCAAAAAGTGTGGTAAAGAAACAATATCTTATATTAGCTTTTAAAAAATAAACATGAAAATACAGTAAAAGGTGCAAAATATATTTAAATATGACAAAAAACCAAAATGATCTAACACTGTGCTTCACTAAATTTTAACTCAAAGATGCTGTTGCAGGTCCTTGTCATGAGATGCACCGAGGAGCCCCACAGCGGAATGCTGGGGTCCACCAGCCCCACCACAGGAATTCATGCAGACCAGCACTCTCCAGCCCAACTATCTCTGCCCAAGCACAGAAGATACCTAGCCAGTCCTCCTCAGGGTTTGGATAAGTAAGGGCTGACCAGAAAACCGGTGTTCACTCCCTCGATAAGCCCCACCAGTGTGGAGCACCCCAACCAGGTAGTGAATGAAGGTCAGTCTTGCCACTCCTTCCCATGCTCTGCTCTGGGCCAGAGTCTTCAGGGCCCAGTCTTTGCCTCATCCACTTCTCTATCAACACTCACTCCCTGAGGGTTGCGACAGGTTGAGTAACCCTAATCTGAAAATCCAAGGTGCTCCAAAATCTAGAAGTTGAGTATCACATTGGTGCTCCAAACATTTCGTATTTCAAAGCATTTAGAATTTTGGATGATAAACTGGTAGACTTCTTTACATATCCTACATATGTCCTTATCAGATTTATATAAGATTTGCAAATGCTTTCTCCTGTTTAGGGGGTTGTCATTTTACTTTCTTGCTGATGTCACCAGAAGCACAAAATATTTAACATTGATGATGTCTAGTTTACTAATTTTTTGTTGTTGTGCTTTTGATATTGGATCTAAGAAACTGACATAAATCAAGATCACAAAGATTTATTCCTATGTTTTCTTCTAAGTATTTTACATTTTTACTTCTTATATTTAGGACTTCAATCCCTTTTAATTTTTGTATATGTCTGAGTACCATTTGTTGAAAAGATTATTCTTTTCTCCACTGAATGGTCATGGAACATTTGTTAAAAAATCATTAGGCATTAAATATGAGAGTTTATTTCTGGATTTTCAATTCTATTCTATGACCTTCCATATGTCTATCCTTACATCATTACCATACTGTCTTGATTAGTGGAGATGTAGTTTATTTTGTAAAGAAGTGTGAGTTCTCCAACTTTGATCCTTTTCAAGACTGTGGCTATTCTGGGTCCCTTGAAGTACCATATGAATTTTAGGATGAGCCTGAAAACTTCTGCAAAAAAGTCAGTCAGTTGGGATTTTGACAGGGAGTGAATTAAATATGTAGCTCAGGCAGGTGTAGGGATGCCTACCTGTCATCCCAGCACTCAGGAGGCTGAGGCAGGAGGACTGCTGCTAGTCTGAGACCAGCATGGGCTACACAGTGAGTTCAAGGATAGCCTGAACTCCAAAGTGAGACCATGTCTTTAAAAAAAAAAAAAAAAAAATGTACTCAATATGAAGAAGACTGTCATCTCAGCAATATTGAGTTTTCTGAGCAATGAACATGTCTATTTGTCTGGATCTTTCTATTTTTTCAACATTATAGTTGAGGGTAAAAATTATAGTTCAGGGTAAAAACTTTGCATTTCTTTTGATAAACTTATTCTTATTTTATCCTTTTTAATGCTACTGTAACAGAGCCTTTACTCTAATATCCTTTCAGTTTGTTCATCAATACTGACTAAAAATACAAATGAGTTCTGGGATCTTGCATCCTACAATCTTACTGAACTTGCTTATTCTAATACTTTTTCAGTGATTCTTCAGGATTTTCTATCTATATATTATGTCATCTGCAAAAAGATAATTTTATTTGTTCTTTTCCCTTCTAGCTGTATTTATTTTCATTTTCTTGTCCAACTTCCCCAGCTAGACGTGCCAGTGCCATTTTGAATAACAGTTGTGAGAGCAAATATTCTAGTCTTTCTCTTGATTTTAAGCGAAAAGTATTTATTCTTTCACCATTAGAAGAATGTTACTTTTTCTTAGGTGCCCTCCTTCCTGTTGAAGAAGCTATCTTCCAGTCCTAGTTTTGTTGAGTATTTGAGTGTTTTTATCAAAAGCAGTGTTGTACACATGTACATACATACTGGAGATTGAACACAGGGCTTTCACATTACACTACATCTCCAGCCCTTTGTATTTTTTGTTTTGAGACAGGGTCTCACCAAGTTGCAAAGCTGCCCAAACTGGCTAAAACTTGTGACTCTCCTGCCTCAGCCTTCCAGAGTGCTGGGCTTACAGGCACAGGTAGCAGTGCTGAATTTTGCCAATGCTCATCCTGCATTTATTGGGGTAATCATACAGTTTTTATTATTTATTCTATTGATATGTTACCTTGACTTTTATGTGTTAAACTAACCCTATAATGCTGGCATAGTTGGTACATAATCCTTTTTATATATTGCTAGATTTCATTTTCTTTTTTTTTTTTGGTACCGGGGATCAAACTCAGGTCCATGCGCTTGTGCAGCAGACGGCGAAACTACTGAGCTAAATCCCCGGCCTAAGATTTCATTTTCTAAAAATTTATTGAAAATTTTTCTTTCTATATTCCTAAGTGATACCGGTCTATAGTTTCCTTTTCTTGTGATGTCTCTGGTTCAGGAATCAGGTAGTATTCACCTCAAAGAATGAGCTGAGTCATGTTCCACTTTCAATCAAGCATGCATTGAATGACTAATGTACCTGGGATTAAAGCCAGGGCCTTAGCACTCCAACACCTTTCCTTTTGCTTCATTTTTTGAAACAGGTCTTGCTATGTAGTTCAGCTTGGCCTTGAACTCACTATGTAGCCCAGGCTGGCCTCAAACTCAGTGATCCTCCTGCCTCAGCCTACCCAGTGCTGGGATCACAGGCATGTGTCACCACACCCAGCTCCAACATTTTTCTAAAATTGTGAGACAAAAATCTCACTAAGTCGATAATTGCTCAGGCTGGCCTTAAACTTGTGATTCTTCTGCCTCAGTCTCCCAGAGTGCTGGGATTACAGGTATGTGCCACCATGCCTGACCAAGCATTTTTAATAAAAAGCTAGAAATAGTAGCCACCCTGATTGGGCTTTTATGGTAACGTTCTCTGAGGTCCTTGATAAAAGTCTATCCTGGCACACTTTACATGGGCTGCCTTAGTATTCTTGCCTAACCTCTACTAAACACAGTAAATGGATTTTATTAGAAAAGGTTAAAAAGTAAATCTGAGCAGGGTATGGTGGCACACACCTGTAATCCTAGCACTAGGACAGCGGAGGCAGGAGGATCACCACAAGTCTGAGGCCAGCCTGGGCTCATGGTGAGTTCAAGGCCAGCATGAACTACATGGTGAGACCTTGTCTAAAATAAAACAAAATACAACATAACACAGAAAGTAAACCTGACCTGCTGCTTTTTGTTCAAAATATTAATCGCTTCTTGTCTTTATTCCCACCCTAAATGACAGGGAAAGAAAACCACTGAGAAATGTGGTGTATTTCTGGGCCAGATTTTCCAAGATGAAGAGGCTCTCCAAGAACAAAAAGAGACAGTGGCACTGTTGGTTCTGTCTTGGGTTCCTACATGAATAGCACCAAAGGAGCACAGATCCCACCTGGCCCTAGATGCCTTAACATCCCTCACACCGCACAGAAGAGGAACGACCACACCAGCTCCCAAACTCCTGGAGGGCAGCATGTGTGCCCCTGTATCCCACAGCTGAGTAGCTGTGGGCACCCCTGAAGGGGAGGGTGGGTCTACTCAGGCTGCAGACTGGAGGGCGGGGGGGGGGATCCCACTGGGGCTCATCCTCCTTCAACTTACCTCTCACCCAGGTAGTCCCCAATGACAGTCTTATTCAGGCCTTCTCCTTTATAGAGGAACTGGGAAACGTCTTCTGGGGAACTCTGGAGCAGGTCATTTTCTATTAGAAACTGAATTCCCTGAAGAACAGCATAAGACAGGAAGCACCAGTTAGGAAGGCCACTCAAACTCAATTTTCAAGGACAGAAACACAGTGTGATGATCTTACTGGTTTGGACACAGCAAAAACATCAGAGAGACTCGTGGAACTGCACAATCTGATTTTCATAATACTATACTACATTTTTATCCATCAAAGAAAAGAACATACATGTCTCCCAGAAACTTAATAGGTTAAAAGACAAATGAATGGGTTACTGAACAAACTAATATAAATGGTTGTTTAAAATGGTAAGGATTCACCAGATAGTAAATAGAAAATGGTAAATTTTGCTGCCTTGAAAATTTCCAGGAGCAAGAGAGGGGTGTCTAAAGAAACCAAGGACACAAAGGACAAAGGGATCCCCATGAGCAGAGTGTGGGGCTGGTCCCTGGCCTGGTCACTGGTGATCAACTGGGCTATGACTGTGGCACTGAAGGCTGGGAAGCTGGCCTTCTTAAAGAGTTCAGCCACCCAAGGGCAGACACTGCTGTCCAGGTTTCCTTTGGAGGGGCCATGGCTTTAAGAGGTTCTTGTCTCCTTCCCACCCTGGTCTTTCCACCCCTCCTAGTTGTCCTATAATCTGTGGCCACAAGGTTGGGGGCTGGACCCTGAGAAGCCAAAACTGGCATTGTTAGCCAAATCTTCAAAAAGTGAATGGGCCTGAGGAAGAGACTGTTCTGGATACTCACGACCTTTCGTTCAAGTCAGTATACCCCCAAAACTAGGGTGAATCTTGGAGAGTGCTGTGAAACGACCTACAAGGATTTGAGAAAACCAAATGGGCTCAGAACAAGGTAATTTCTGTGCTTACAGGTAGCAAAATGGAGACAGAAGAGGTTCCTGGGAGGCAAGGCTTCCTCTGCAAGAGATGGAGGCTACAGACATGGGAAACGGGGAGCCACTGTTCAAATTCAGACAGGAGACCCTAAAATAAAATGCAGTCAAGAGCCTGAGACAAAAACGGCAGTTAAGAATGTAAAAGGACTGCATCTTGGAGGTGAAAGAGGCCAGAAAAGGAGAGGACATGGGAGCAGGCTGCTCTGAGTGTGGTGACAAGTGTCCTCAGATCAGAGCAGTCATGTTAAAACGGAGGCAAAGACTGGGGTAATGTGCCCACAAGCCGAGGAGCACCACCAAATGCCAAGACAGGCCTGGAAGGGATTCTCCCTCAGGTTAAAGGACAACACCTTGCTCTTGGATTCTGGCTTCCCAAACTGCTAGAGAATAAAATTTTGTGTTTTAAGGCACCCAGTTTATGGTTAATTTACTATGGCAGCCCTAGGACACTGACATATTAGGTAGGTAATTACTCATAAAAGAAAGCAAATGTTCTATTAGAAAATTTTAGTATTTTAAAATGTTGCTTAGAAAAATCAAACAGTGGCCACCATTCAATCCACTAAACTTAGTATCTAGAGTTCAGTATTTCTAACTTTCCTGTTATTTCCCCTAAGAGTCTCTCTCAGAAGAAGCTGGAATTTTTTTGGGGGGGGTACTGGGGATCGAACTCAGGTCCTTGCGCTTGCGCAGCAAGCGGTGAAACCACTGAGCTAAATCCCTGGCCCAAGAAGTTGGAATTTTTTCAAATCTAATGACCAAGGTTTTTTGTTTTGTTTTGAGACAGGGTCTCCTTATGTAGCTAGCCCAGGCTAACTTTGAACTCTTGGTCCTCCTGCCTCAACTTCCTAAATGCTAGTTTCTGTTTTTTTAAGAGGTTAATTTGACCTGGTCAGATTTATGATCACTGATTTGTGAGGACTTACTCCTGCCCTCTTATTTTGTGCTTTCTACTTCACATGTCCTTTCAGCCTTTTGTTAAATTGATCAAATTTTCTTTATTCAAGCTTTCCTAACAACTTATAAATTCTATTTAATTCCTATCTGTAGTGGCTCTTAAAATTTTAACATCTAAACTTACATTTACCTATCAACGTCTAGAAACAATACTTAGCAGAATTTTACTTTCTTATTTTTTTTTGGAACTGGAAATCAAACCCGGGACCTTGTGTTTTTGAGGCAGGCAACGGCACCACTGAGCTAAATCCCCAGCCCACACTTTCCCTTTTATTTTAGCCTTTTTATTTTCCTTCTCATTCTCTTATTTAGACTTAACTGTAACCACCACCACTACCACCCACACACCCCTGCCAATACTAGGGGATTAACCAGGGATGCTCTATCAACTGAGTTACATACCTTGCTCTTCTCTTTAAAAATAATAATAATAATAATAATAATAATAATAATAATAATAATAATTTTGAGATGGTATCACCAAGTTGCCCAGGCAGGACTCAGACTTTAGATCCTCCTGCTTCAGCCTTCCAGGGCTGAGATTACAGGCCTGAGCCACCACACCTGGTTTAACTACAAATATTGCATGTCTTTTTCATCCTATGGATTCGTGTTTGTTTGTAGGTGTAATCCTCCAACTTCTCAATTACTAGACTCAGGGAAAGTCTTGGTGGGTGACTGAGTCCTTGCATGTCTGAAAAGGTCTTTATTTGTCCTTCTTCTGAGTGACAGTTTGGGTAGACAAAATTCTCAGTTTTAAGTCATTTTTCATCAAACTCTGGAGCTGTTTCCCTGCTTTTGTTTCCTGATAACGAGTTCATGTCTTCTTAGGTGGCCTAGTCTTCTCTTCCTGGAAAATTTAATGATTTCCTCTTTATCCGCAAGTTTTGTGATATTTTATTCAATACATCTATATATAGATCTTTCAAAAATGTATACTGCTTAGCATTTGGTAAGGCCTGTGAATCTGATTTTATCTTAGTCTTATTCTAAAATAATCTAAGGTTTCCTTAAAATATTTCCTCTGTTCCATTTTAAATTGTCTCCTTTGAGACTTTGAGTCAATAAAATCTGGTTTGCTGGACCCATTTTCCATGTCTTGTAACTCTGTGCAAAACAGTGGAGAGAATTATTACACTCTCCTGTAGGCCTCAAATTCACGTTCAAGCAGCAGCCTCTCTGTGGCACAGACCAAAGTTCATGTGACACCCCTATTTATTTCCAGCATTCTTACAATGCCCAACTTTGGTTTAATGTATAAGTACCATCCTATCAATCTCTTTGATGATATTTACAATACATACAAATATACTACTTTTATTTAGAGTTCCCTTCCACTGTTTCTATTGGGCCTGTTTCCTACTGTTTCAGCTCTTCTGTTTGTCCAGTTTCATGTCTTAGTCAGGTGGTAGTTTCCTCAAGTGTTTGACGATACGTGGCAGAGAATTTATCTCTGTAAGTCAGTCACTGGCAACTCCTGGATGTTGTCTGCTTCTGGTTTTTACTGCAGCCACCTCCCATGACTTGTTGGAGCAGCATTTAGGTGGTGGGAGCTGTGCCCACTGTTGACCTCTGGGAGTGGATTTCTTCTTCTCTGTGCTGCTGGCCACCCAGATGCTGCCTGTCTAGATGGACTAAGTGTTTTCTCTTGCTTCCCTCACCTGGGGCCCACAACACTGCCTGGTACAGGTCAGCACTGCGTAAAGAGTCCCAGTGTCGATGTCCCAACTGCTTCCCCATTCCCTACATCTTCCTGACCTTGCTGAACCCCAGGCTGCTCCCCCTTCTCTTAGCAGCTCCCTCCTATATGTGATCTAGGTATCATTCCTTCTTCACTTGATCTCATCCTTGCAGAGAGTCCTTACTTTCTACTCCACTAAACTCCTTATTATAAATTTAAGTATTTTTTGTTTTAAAGGCATATATGGACACTGGGAATAAAAGGAAAGGGTAGTAGAGAGTTTTTAGCCTGCTTAATCTAACCAAACCTTTTTCTTCTATTTATAAACTGAAGTGCTACTTCTAGAGTCTAAGGTACCTGAAACCAAAGCTCCTTGCTTAAAATGTTATCACATCCCTGTTAGCTTGAAAGAATTTACTTTAATGATACCTTCATGTTTCACAATATTACAAGGCTTAATAAGGATATGCAATAGATTTAATTTTGAATTGTATCTGAAGCATGAGATTATTTGGTATGGCTACAGACTAAATTATTTGTGTCCCCCTCAAAATGTATATATTGAAGCCCAAAGCCACAAAGTGACAGGACATACATAGATATAGGGTTCCTGGGAGTAACTAGGCTTAGGTGAAGTCATTTGAGCAGAAATCCTAGTTTAAGATTTGTGTCATTTTAGGAAGACAGACCCTGGAGTGAAATTGCTCCCCTCCCTGGCCATGTGAGGATTTAGCAAGAAGGCGGCTATCTGTCTATGGAAAGACGGCTATCACCAGGACCTGGCTATACTAGCATCCCAGTGTTAGACATGTGGTACCCAGATCTATGAGAAAATAAATGTTTGCTGTGTAAACCCCCAATCAACCATATTTTGTCATGGTAGCCCAGCTGACTAAGACAAGTACTACAACCAAGACTATAAACCAAATAATTTTGATAATATTTCCAGCAAAAGGCCAAAGGCAGACTAAATGTACCTTCTTCCTTTATTGGGTGGCATGATTACAGATAAGCCACTGAGAAGACTATATGTCCATCAGCAGATGAGTGGATAAAGAAAATGTGATATTTACACACACTGCAGTACAACTCTGCCATAAAGAGAAACTTGAGTCATTTGTAGGAAAATGGGTGCACCCTGAGACCATAATGTTAAGTGAAATACACCAGACCAAAGATAATAGGAAGTAGCGAGATAAATCTTTCTCCAATGGGAAGGGGACCAAGAGATGGAAGAGGGAAGAAAAGGAGGACAGATGAAAAAAGAATTAGGATGTGTTATGCACATGCACCAACTCCACACAAGGAAGGTATTCATCATGTACTGCAAACAGGGACTAATACAGAACTTTAAAAATATATCTTAGGTTAAATGGGACATAAAATGAAGCCTGCTAAGACATTCAACACAGCCTGATTAAACCTCCACTTCTTTGGACATGGCAAGCAGATGCCATGGGGATGACTAGATAGTCAGGATTCAGCTTCTTATGAACCAAGCCAGCAGGAAGCCACAGTTGCAGGCCTAGGTCTTTCAGTCACGTTCCTTACTCAGGACAGTGGGTGCTCCTTAGGTGTTCTGTGCCTCATTTTGCCCAACTGTGAGACAGGAATTAGAAAAGAAGTTCCCTACCTCATAAGTTGTTGTAAGGACTAAGTATATTAATTGAAGTGCTTCCCTCCTGTGCTTCCTGACAAACAGGAAATTCTCAATGTCAGTTATTATTGTACTTTCGACCCATAGTACATATAAAGTTAGTTGACAAGCAAGAACCAACAGCTAGGACATCCTAAGCATGAAGTGAGTTCACTCACTGATGCACTGTGGTAACATCACTTTAAAAAATCAGTGTAGGGGCTGGGGATTTAGCTCAGTGGTTTCACTGCCTTGTTGAGCAAGTGCAAGGACCTGAGTTCGATCCCCGGTACCAAAAAATAAAATAAAATAGAACATAAAAATAAATAAAATAAAAAATCAGTGTTTACTGCACTGTGTGCTTCATGAGATTTGAATTTATTTATGAGCTTATTGGTGTGCTACTCAGTGCTAAAACATGAGTTCCAGTTCTAAAAACATTCAATTTTATAATACATCCTCTATTACTTCCAATGGTTATAAAATCTGCTGATAATTTAACTTAGTAAACTCAACTCCTAAAGGAGGAAAAACAAAAACCTGATACTAACCCCAAATACCAAATCATTACCAAATCCACAAATCATTTCCACTGACAACTTCATGCCATTTTGGAGCTGAATTAAGGAAGCAACAGGAAGTTTCACAGTGGGTAAAATATAAACAAACAAAATCCTACCCTACCTACAGGTTTGCTGTGTTCTAAGAAAATCCAAATCTGCAAACCACAAATGACGAATAAATGAAGAGCAGTGAGGCAGGTCTCACTATGTTACCCTAGGTCCCAAACTCCTGGGTTTCAAGCAATCCTCCTGCCTCAGCCTGCAAAATAAATGAGACTACAGGTGTACAGCATCTCACCTGGCTTGATACATATATTTTTAAATATCATTTGTAACTGCACTTACACTTATGAATGTGAGTTTACAAATCTTAGGCCTTGTGCAGTGCAATTCCTGTAATCAACAAACATTTATTGAATAAACAAATACTTTAACAATTAGTACTGAGGTTCAGTCTCAGACAAGGAAAATGTCAGAAATGAACGCCAGTCAGAAATCACTAGCAATGAATAAGCCAGCTCTGTAGTCTGAACAACTTCCCGTCCTCTTTCCTCTCCTTGACCTCAAGTTTCTGGGGGCTGACTCAGGTCTACTCTTCCCTCTCAAAACCAAAAGCTTTTACAGATTCTGCCAAATTCTTTTAGCTCAATCTCAAAATCAAGCAGGTTTTGTTTTGAAGTGCTTTCCTAGAAAATCTAACTTGAGGAAAGAACAAGAGGGTAACTGAAATCTGGAAGGATTCCTTGTTCTTTCATTCAGACCCCCTTTTAAAATAAAAGGAAGAAATATTGTCCTCTTATTTGGGCTATTTAACCCACTCACATGATGAAATCTATAGACTCTATACCCAGACTCCACTCACACCTCTGCCTCCAACTAATCACCTGAGGCCCCCCTATATTAGAGCCTAGCTCACACAGGAAGATTTAGAAGATAAACTTCAAAGATGGGGCTCCACAGCAAGGACTGAACAAGTGGTTCTAGCTGCTCCTGTGGGCCCACGTCCATATTCTGAAGCGCCCACTACAGGAAAGGCCTTTCAGGTCAGAAACCACCTCTACAAGATACTTCTGCTTCACCTCACTCATTAAGCAGCCCCTGCTTTTTTTTTAATAAAATAATGTCGACTCCATCTTTTTATGTTGTGATCACCTTTGTCCAAAGAGAGGCAGCCATTAAAATAGATCAGTTGGTTGCAGGTTAGAAAACTGGAACTATGTGCTTACCTTTTTGGGGTCCATGTTGAATTTCTTTCTTCCCATGGCTATTTGCTTGTTCCTCTGAGTAGTTTTGCTATTCATTTGAAATAATGGAAAAATCATTAGCAAGTATCCACAGAGAGCAGAGTCTCATACAGCACAGCAAGGCACAGCCCCTTAGCACATTTTTCCTCTCACAACACTCAACAAATGAAAAAGCACTGGTGCACTCAGGAACTGCCATCTTCCACAGTGAAGAGAGGAGGTGTGTGGCTGCTTTGGCTCTTTTTTCACAGGTTTCACATTGAGATACACTTCTGAAAAAGCTGACGATGAAAAACAGTGACTTTTTAAAAAAAATAAAAAGAGGATGGTACCTTGAAGGATGGTTCCTTCTTAAAACTAAAAGAGGGTGACACAGAAAGGTTATTTGTGGGTAATTAATTCTGAGTGCCTGTGCTTATTCCCAAATCTACAGTTAGAAGGGGACTTACAGAAAGTAGAGGACAGGAAGTAACCTCCAGAGAAGCAGCCTCTGCCTCCACAGAGAACAGAAAGGAGGCAGGGTCAGAAAAGAACGAACAACTCCAAAGGCCTCCACTTCCCCTGTCAGCCCTCTCACTCTGTTATGGTCACCAGTTGATAAATTCAATAGAGGATAGATATAAAGAGCATAGAATAACTAACTTAAAGGTACCGACATTAACATTTTACCTCTCCTCCACTGAAGTTAGGTTATCGATCTCTGTCATCACTTCTGCAATTTCGTATTTCAGCCTCTATCAAAAAGAAAAAATTGGGGGGTCTTAAATTTCCATTTAAACTCAGAGAAGTTTCAGCCTTTCAGGCACAAGCTTCCTTGAGGGATCATCTGATCATTCAGAAACCCAACACCTTTAAACACAGCTAGAGCCTCAAAGTCAGAGCCAGCACAGCTTAGGAGAAAACAAAACTATCTGTCCACCTCCCATCAAATACCCAAGAAGAGGGGCCCACTAAGCAGACTCTACGGTATTTATGTGTAAAATCGAGAAGGGACATAGGAGCGTATCTGAGGTATAAAAAGGTAAAACCACTTAATTGCATCCATTCCCCACTACCCAGCACAGGCCATCTGCCTTCCCCTCCAGCACTACCTGTTCTTGGGAGACCAGGGGAAGCTGAAGCTCAGATAGATAGATTTTGGTGGCACGGAGTAATCAAGTCAGCAATCTCAGGGTGATTTCTGTCACTTTATATGACAGGGGACAGGGACTGGGGGCTAAAGCCAGACTTGGATCCATAGTACTCAGAGATGACAGAAACAGTGGGGACAGGCTCACCCTTTCCCTGGCGTGTCCTCTACTGGCTGAGACCCTTGGCCGCCTCCTAGGCTCTCTGGGCCTAGTGTTCTCATTGACAAAATAATGCAGTGAGAGCTAAATTAAGATTCCATATTAATCAGCAATGTGATTACTAGTGTCCAAATAAAATATATTCTTATTGGTCAGCCAAAGAACTTATTCTGGTTTACAGAATTTTTCCAAGAATGAAGGGTAATCTTAGAATAAAAATGTTCATGAATTACCTTTCAAATACAAAGAAATTTCTATTCAGAACCCTATTTTTGTGTGCCAAGAAACTCTGACTTAAAAAGTGAGTTAGTTCCTAGAAAGGAGTTGTTGTCCGGGACAAAGTCTGGCCCTACACTAAGCGGCACATGAGGCCACATTTATTTTGGCAATGACAATGACTTAAGAAGCTTTTCAAAGAGCCTTTCCCAAGGAAGCCAAGGCTTACTGAATAGTTTTTGTAACAATCACAGACACCTCGGCTCTGAAACTGTGGCTTTATTCATTTGTGTCTCCTGTGGGACACCCCTCCAACCCTGTCCTTTGGTTAAGGTACACAAATGTGGAAATGATAATGTTTATTCATCTGTGTTTTATTCATCTTTGTCATTCTGCTCCTACCACCTACCAGGCACTTGGTACATAGCTGGAACCTAATATATGCCTTCCATTCATTCAAAGGATATCTGAGTGCCAAAAATGTAATAAGCAATGTTCTAGGTACTTGGAATATTATATACAAACAAGGTCTTATCTGGTGGTAGTGGAAATTGAATTCAGGGCATTTATACTGAACTACATCCTCAGCCCTTTATAATTTTTTAAAATTTCAGACAAGGTCTCACTAAGTCACTAAATTGCCTAGGCTGTGCTTGAACTTGAGATCCTCCTGCATTAGCCTGCCAGAGTGCTAGCATTAGACAAGTGTACCACTACACCCAGCTTAACTTACAATTTTGGAGGGCAATGTGTTGTAGACTACTGCTATTGTTTAAACCAGCCATCTGTGACTCTGGACCCACAAGTCTAGGCTCCAGGTCCACCATCTTGACTTCTATCAGAGGCTGTAGTAACTGGTGTGGGGAGTCTTTGCCTCACTAGTTTACACAACTCTTTGCTCTGTTTCTTTGTGTAGTTCTTACATACACAGACTACCCATTTTTCATATTTCCCTGAAATTATTCAATATTTCACCCAAAAGCAAAAACTAAGTGTGAGTTTTGTTTTGCTTTGTTTTTACCTCAATGTCATCAATAAGTTCCTTTTTTCTTCGACGAATGTCCAAAAGTTCTTCTCTCTCTTCTAATGAGAGGTCTTCAGGCACTGAAAGAAAAAAAAAATCAATTCGATAGCAACTGCTTTGATGAATTGAAGCATCTGGCAATATTTGACAAGGACCAGCTGGAAGGCTGTATGAAAAGCTCCTGACCCCTTCTCCTTCCCACTCCTCACCATGACCACTGGTTTACCTCTAGAGAGTAAAACAGAGGCTAGCGCACACCAAACGCAGTTGAGGGCATGGGCATCCCATCGAAATTGGTGGGTAAGATAAATACTGACACCTCCTCTGGCTTTCCCACAGGGCTCCTACACTACAGAGCAGACCACCTGCCTTCCTCCTCCCAAACTGCCCACAGAAGTTCAAAGCTCTTCTCTGCACCATCCAAACAGCTGCAGGTCCACAGATATTGACACAGGGGGGCACAATGAGCACACAAGCACACCACACCTGGCAGGGAAACAGCCAGCATATCTTTCTGCTGAACTCAGAGCTCCCAAATGCCCTTAGTCCTTCAACCTCAAACGTGAGTAAGCCTCCAACATTCGAGACAAATACTGAGACACACACTGAGACACACTGAAGCTAAGAAAGATCAGAGTGGTTACATCTCAGGGAGCAAGAAATGCTGCAGGAAGCAGGGTAGTGCTGGGCCCCCTCCAAAACCCCATCCCCATTATAACTCCTACAGAACCTGTGACACTCCAGTACATATTCAACCAATAACTATAATCTCACTTGATTGGGCCAGGAGAAAAAAAAGAAAGAAAGAAAAGAAGGAAAAAAGTCTGCTGGGAGTAGAACTTGGCATGGCCACTTTAGAAAATAATTAGGTACTCTCTATTAATATCAAAGAGTACACATGCAATTTTACTCATATATATGTGTGTGTGTGAAAAATTCTCCAGCTTCTCCAGCAACATAACAGATATGCCAAAAAGCACAGTATATAGATTTTTTTTTAAAAAAACCTAAATGCCCATCCAGAGTAGAATGGATAAAAGTGTGTTGATGTATATGCATGCAATGGAATCCCAAAAGCAGTGAAAATGCATAAAACAAGCAACAAATGGGTATCTCAAGAAAATAACATGGAAATGAATACTTTCTATAAAAATCTCAAAAACAAAAATTAAATAATATGTTTGTTATGATATCTATATAGATATCTATATACAGAGAGAGATATATATCTAGATCTCCCCCCAAGAGCTTTGTTCACCAATAAGGTGGAGCTTTGGGAAGGTGACTAGATTATGGGAGCTTATGGCTGACTTGCTTTTAAGCAGGTAGCATCTTGTCGGAAGAAGAGGGTCAGTGGGGGCGTGGCCTGGAAGAGTTTATCTCCCTCTCTAGCTCCACCTTTCACTCTCTCTGCTTCCTGTCTGCCATGCCACGAACAGCTCTCCTGCACCATGCCTCTCTATCATGCCATCTGGCCTTCAAGGTACCCAACCATGCAAGGACTGAAATTTCTAAACCATGAGCCAAAATAAACCTCTTCTCCTTTAAGTTGTGGGTGTCAGGTATTGTGTATCAGTAGTGAGAAAAATAAATAAGACAATACTGTTTAGGTATAAGTATATATGTCCTATAAATACAAATGGGGGAATAATGCCTCCTAGGTGGGAATGAAGAGCATGAGATCAGGAAGGGAAATAAATTTCTAATTTCCTCCTTCCTGTACCAGATCTAAGCTTCGTTAAACTCCACATTAACAATTTTCTTAAGCAATCCATTTGTAATTCCAGCACTCATGAGGCTGAGGCAAGAGGAACGCAGGTTTGAGGTCAGCTTGGAATGCATAGAAAGTTCAAGGCAGGCCTGCAATACATAATAAGACTCTGTTGAAAGAAAGAGAGACAAGGAAAGGAAGAGAAAAGAAAGAGGAGGTGGGAGGAGAGGAAAATAATATGTAAGGAGCAGTATTCCATCCTGAGTAATTACTGAGGAAGGACTATCATTTACTGAACTAGACTGGGCCACATGCTTTAATAGGCTATCACAATTAAACCCCCCAAAATAACTTAGAAAGCAGCCATTATTTTTAATTGAAGAAACAGGTCAAGAGAGATCTAATGATTTTCCCTAGAGGGAAATTATTTGAAGAAATAACTACTGAAATGTCCCAAATTTGACAAAAGACTTGAAAACACATATCCAAAATGCTCAAGAAAATCCAAGTAGGATAAACTCCAAGATCCACAAAGCCATGCTGCATGCTTTGGGGAGGTCTAGCTGATCAACAATGTCATCAGGGACCCAGTGTTTGTCCGCCTTCCAAAGTACTAGCTTCATCCTAAAGCTGATATCCTTCCTGCTATAGGCTTCTGGAGTAGCTGAGGCTGCTACTTCTGTATTCCGGGGCTCCTTCCAACTTCTTTCCCAAAAGGCCCCATAAAGTCTCTCCCTCAATTCTCCAAGGCCCAACCTGAGTTAGGCCTTGGCTTATACTAATCAGAAGGGGTAGAAAAAATGTCTAGACACACAGACATCTAGGTCAAGAGATGAGGTAAGAACTAGGAGAAAATGAAGACTCCAAAACCAAGGGAGAGAAAAATTTTAAGACAGATAAAACCAATGTTAAAGGCCCAAAGAGATCCAGTACCAAAGTAAACATACAGTTCTTGAAACTTCAAGGCTATTCCTCTTACCACAACTAGAGCATGTATTTTATTATTATTTTTATTTTTTGGTACCGGAGATCGAACTCAGGTCCTTGCGCTTGCGCAGCAGGAGGCGAAACCAGAGCTAAATCCCCGGCCCAAGAGCATGTATTCTAACAAAGACAAGAGCATTTCTAAAAGTAGTCAGCTGACTAACACTATCCTAGGAAATAAATGCACCTGAAAATTCAAGTTAAGTATGTCAACAGCATTGCCTGGGCTCCCAAAAGTAGCCTTAAAAAAAATCTTTCTTCTGCTGAGTTCGCCAATGCAAATATATCAAAACAAGAGTCTGAAAGGGCAAAGCTTTACTTAAGTCATCTACAGACACCTGTGTTTCTTTAAGGACAGTCTACCTACAGTCTCTCTCCTACCTGAGAATATGAAGGATTGGCTGCCAACATAGAATGAAGGCTTAGAAGACAAATCTAAACATCACAATGATTTAACTCTAAAGCCCCTTCCATCAGAAGTTTTCATGGAATCTCTTAATTTTTCTCTTTCAGTAATGCCTATCTTTTCCTACTCCTTTAAAGCACTAGCAAGTGGGCTGGAGATTTAGCTCAGTGGTTCCAGCACCTGCCACGCAAGTGCAAGGTCCCGAGTTCAATACCCGGTACCAAAAAAAAAAAGATTGGGCTGGGGATTTAGCTCAGTGGTTCTGGTGCCTGCTTCACAAGCGCAAGGACCCAAGTTCGATCCCTGGTACCAAAAAAAAAAAACAGATAAAGCACTAGCAAGTAAAACAGTGCTGACTATTTATAATACCATTTATACTGGACCAGAATCTGCATGTCTAAAAGAAAGAAATTTTATAGTGTTGTGGTTATTTAGGAAAATGTCTTTTCTAGAGATTCACACTGTAATATTTAGGGATATGATACTATTATATCTGTATTTTGAAATACTTGAACAAAAAAAATTGAGCAAGATAAAAATTGTTAAATCTATGATGGATATATATTCACTGTCCATTGTATATTCTAAGAGTTTAATTTTTCATGATAAAAAGTAACAAAAAAAGTTCAGTGTTAAATGGCCAGTAGCCATCATAGTAATATTATCTTTTAGGGTATTTTGGTAAAAACATTAAACTGGAATAATGGAATACTACTCCCTAGCACATTAAAAAGACTAAATCAAGGCTGAGGATGTAGCTTTGTGGTAGTGTGTGTGGCTTAGCATTTTTGAGGTCCTGGGTTCAATCACCAACAGCCAAAAAGAGAAAAGAAAAAAAAAAAAAAGATCCAGAAAGGAAGAAGATGGCAAAAACCAAATCAATAAAACAAACAGAAGTATGTGATAAAAGTATTTCTGGACCAATCTCTCCACAGTTTCTGTTATTTAAATATCTTTCTGTCCTATTATTTCTCTGGACACCCAGAATGCAGAGAGAATATCAACACTGCTGTTACACCAGCTGTTTAGTGAAGTTCTATCTGCATCTCTCTGCATCCAAACTAATTCAATAGTCACAAATCTACTGACACAAAGGCAATTTCACACATGCAAGTGTCACACTAAAATCAGGATAGGCAATGTTCAGAGGAGGTATCCTTAACTGTCCAGACCTTTGCCAGCAACACAGCAATCTGTACCCCAAAAAGAGCAATATAAGGCTTGGATTCACTTATTGATATTGCCTACATATTGTCACTTGGACTCTGTTGGGTGAGAAGAAACAAAGGTTTCATGATGGAATTTCTTCCAAAACATCTAGCAGTTTATTTTTTAATCGAAAACATTAATATATGGATATATGGTCACACACATACACATGCATATATGATGAAAATCTTCCTTGCATCCTCAATAAGGAATATTTGTTGTTCTGTTGGCAGCAATGGAGACTAAACCAAGGGCCTTTTTACTGAGTTACATTCCTGCCCCTTAAAAAAAAATTTTTTTTTTAATGTTGAGACAGGATCTCACTAACTTGCTCAGGCTGAGCTGGAACTTTTGATCCTCCTGCCTGAGCCTCCCACAGTGTTGGAATTATAGGTGTGCACCACTGTGCCTGCCTTTTATTGGAAGGGGTGAGATGGGGTCTCACTATGTTCCCCAGGCTGGTATTGTACTCCTAGGCTCAAGTAATCCTCCTTCCTGAGCCTCCCAAGTACTGTATCTAGGACTATAGGGATGAGCCACCATGTCCACATGTCCAACTACCCAACTAAAGCTGTTCTTAAAAAAAAAAAAAGGCAAATTAACTAGCAATTATTTGTCTGGCAGCAAAATCTCTGAAGTATGTTGAATATGCCTATCATCAGCTTCCAGAAAGAATCTGGGCACTCCAGAGACAGCCTTAAGAAATGGTCCTTGAATCCGGGCATGGTGCTGTACACCTGCAATCCCAGCACTCAGGAGGCTGAGGCAGG